AATTAGATAAGCATAAAGTTGATGCTGAAGAAAAGTTAGCAGCCAGAAATATGTTTGATCCACCAGCTGAAGTTGTTGCTGCTAGAGATCACATCATGCATGTGGTTTACTCTTTCCTTCAACCAGCACAGATTCATGACAGGTATTTAGCAATTTTAGCGAGACATTTTCAGATGGTTATAGACCAAAGATTCGAGCACATTTGATGGTCTTTTGTGGACATTTAGATATATGTCCCTATCAGGATAACTGAATTTCAATACCTTCATTAGGAATTTTGGCATGAGCAAGGCATAAAATGAATTCGATTCATATTATAATATTCACCTGAAAGCTAAGCATAAAATTTGAAACTGTTTTTTTTTAATGTTTTGTGTAATCTTTTTTTTACATTTCAGTACCCTACCATCATCAGATACACCATATCCAATGTTAGTTTTAGTGGGTCCACAAGGTTCTGGAAAGAAAGATTTAGGATTGAAGTTGGTGGAAGAGTTCTCAGATTTCTTTGGTTTTGGTGTGTCACATACAACAAGGAGTCCTTACACTGGAGAAGAGAATGGATTTGATTACCACTTTGTATCTTTAGAAAAGTTTGAAGATGACATCAAAATGGGTAAATTTCTTCAAACCTGTCAACATCATGGTTCATGGTACGGCTTACAAATGGATTCCATACAAAGCGTTGCCAAAGATGGCCTGGCTTGTGTGGTTCACATGGAATTGGAAGGCGTCCTCACTTTGAAAAATACCCATTTTGAACCTCGATATGTTCTGATAATGCCACTGGACAAAGAAAGTCATGAGAGACGTTTACGTGATCGTGGTATTTTTACTGATGAAGAAATTCTAGAAATTGTGAAAACAGCCGAGACATACAGTAGTTATAATCAAGATCATCCTGGATTCTTTGACATGATGGTTAACTCTAATGATATACAAGAAGCTTATATTCAGCTTCGAAAGTTGGTTATGGATTACTTAGGTATTGGTCCACCATCACCCACTACAGAGAATCAACTTGAATCACCATCTAAGGTTGAAGCTGTTGATCATTTTCCAACACCAAATAACACCACCAACATCCTGACTAGAACATGGTCACGACCGAGTATGAGTGAGAGCCTGTCCATTCGAGCACCCTCTGGCATTGTGGAAGAAGAATCCTTTAAGTTAAGATTAAGTGCTGCAAAAGGCGTGGTAGCAGGCTATATTCCACCATTATATGAAAAACTTCTTGAAAGTTGTCCAAGAACAGCACCTCAGTCAGCGGGAAACCAAATTGGTCTTGGTGATGATCAAAGAGCTCTATCAGCTCCTGCCAAAAATACAGGTCGTAAGGGTCCAATTCGAATGGATTCTCCAGACTCTAGTGCCAGTAACATCTCAACTTCAGATCTATCAGATCTTGATTCTGCTGCAGAATTACATAAGGGCAATCTTGACCCCTCTCATAAATTTAAAACTGTAGTGAACCCTCTAGAATTTCCTGATGACCTAATGAAATCCAATAATTCTTCAGCACTAAATGCCCCCAGACCACCGTCAACCACTAGACCTGATTCTCAGAATTCTAAACGTTACCGTCCTGGATCAGAGAAGCGTATGGTTTTACCACCCATACAACCTGTTCATTAACGGTGTTTTTGTTACCACTTCAAACCTTCAATGTGTACAATGGAAATACAATGTAATCTTTTTAAGACTGTTTTGATTATTGTATGCTTTCATTTAAAAACTCAGATGAATGATTATACTATAATGATGAAGTGCATGTCCAAACAAGCATTTTAATCATGAAAAGTATGAATATCATGTTGTATAATCATAATACAATGCTACCAATTTACCACAGAGAGCTTTTACAGAAACAATTCCAAGTTATGTAGCTTTGTTGTTTGTTTATCTGTGATTGAATTGTACAAAATATTATTTATATATAATGTTAATTTAAATTCTCTGTAATATACATGTCAACATTTAGATGTTTGGGTTGTTTTTACATATCTGAAACAAGAGTTTCATAGTTAAATGCATGATAACATTAATGGATCAATTTGTGTCAATGATGTTTCATGCATGTGAGTAACAATGAGGGTTCAATGATGGTTCCATGCATCTTGAGTGACAATGATGGTTCCATGCATCTTGAGTGACAATGATTGTGTCAAGACATCTGAGTGACAATGATGGTTCCATGCATTTTGAGTGACAATGATTGTGTCAAGACATCTTGAGTGACAATGATTGTGTCAAGACATCTTGAGTGACAATGATTGTGTCAAGACATCTGAGTGATGATGATGGTTCCATGCATCTTGAGTGACAATGATTGAGTCAATGCATCTTATGTGACAATGATTGTGTCAAGGCATCTGATGATAATGGTTCCATGCATCTGAATGATTGTTGCTTGTAAGTACGATGAGTTCTGGATTTAGAGTGACAATGATGGTTGCATCATGTATCCTAAGGGACATTGATAATTGTATGCATCTTGATTGCTTGGATGAATGCCAATCCATATTGAAAGGTGCATCATTTTTTGAAAGGTGATCAACTTTAATAAACCCATAAGAGCCCATATCAACTTTTGATTGAGTGTTAGTAGTAATGTGTAGACCACACCAAAAAATAATCAAAAAACCTTGTGCAATTTATATTAATTTATGTGATGAAAAGTATAAGTGTTACAAGATACGAACTTGTTGTTCAGAAATGCAAAATCTCAAAAAGTTTTAAATACACATGGAATAACAAGAAGTTATCAAATACAACTAAACAATGATATTGCAGGTTTGAACCAAATTCTGCATGATTCAGTTCTGTTTGTTAACTAACAAAAAGACAAAAATATAACAAAATAATGATGATGATACTGACATGATTAATCCAAAACAATATATTTAGTTCTCGTTCTAAACTTAACTAAGTATTTATAAAATATAACAAAACAATAATCATGTTGGCATGATTCAGTTATTTTCAAAACTTACAAAAAATTATCAAATATAACAAACCAATTATGATTTTGTCATGATCTAATTATTCTAAGCAATGATCCATACAATGATGTTTGCATGATTTATTTCTTATTTTAAACTTAATAATATATAACAAAATTTGGCAAGACAATAATGATGCTTGCATATTTCAGTTATCGTTCTTTAATTACCATGGATTTATAAAATATAACAAAACAATAATCATGTTTGCATGATTCAGTTATCATTTTAAACTTACAAACAGATGATCAAAGACAACAAAAATAATCATGTTCGCATGATTCATTTATTATTCTAAACTTACCAAGAGATGATCAAAGATAACACAAAAATAATCAAGTTCGCATGATTCAGTTATTATTCTAAACTTACAAAGAGATGATCAAATATAACACAAAAATAATCAAGTTTGCATGATTCATTTATTATTCTAAACTTACAAAGAGATGATCAATTATAACACAAAAATAATCAAGTTTGCATGATTCAGTTATTATTCTAAACTTACAAAGAGATGATCAATTATAACACAACAAAAATAATCAAGTTTGCATGATTCAGTTATTATTCTAAACTTACAAAGAGATGATCAATTATAACACAAAAATAATCAAGTTTGCATGATTCAGTTATTATTCTAAACTTACAAAGAGATGATCAATTATAACACAAAAATAATCAAGTTTGCATGATTCAGTTATTATTCTAAACTTACAAAGAGATGATCAATTATAACACAACAAAAATAATGATGATTTGCATGATTCAAAACTTTCAAAGCTTTTATCCAATATAGCACAAAAATGGTTCAGATCTCATTCCAAACTTACAAAGGTTTTTTTTTTCAACAAAAGTAACAAAACAATGATAATTTTTGAATGAATCTTGCTCAAATGATTATCTTAAAGGATGGCAGATCAATTTATTGTAGTTTTTATAATTTTTTTCTATAGCACTAGTTACTAAAATCTATACCCAAGCCTCCCATCCTTGCCAAACACGACCCAATATATTGGGATCAGTAGCTTGATCTATTAAGGCTTCAACTTGTTGTTCAACTGTTAGTCCTGTAGAAGGTAAAGTAGCACGAACATTGTCCTTAGCATCTCCTAATACACACTTCTCAAAATGTTTAATAGCTGGACTTCTACTGTGACCCAAATATAACTCATCCCTGAAATAATCAATTAAATTTCTATGTTTTTGGTGTTACAAAATAAGTATAAAATAGTTTATGTCCCTTGAATAATTATGACTGTTTGCACTGAGCTAAAGAAATTGAAGGACACAATGATATTTTACAAGAATAACACCTTCAGCTGTGTACCAGCTGATCCTTGGACAAACCTCTGGCAATGACCTTTTAGTCGACTGGAATAATGAGGATAAAGGACTTATTTAAGATCAACAGACAAAGCTTAAAATCCACAAATAACATTTCCTTGACATAAGCAGCCATGTAATTTCACTGCTCAAGTTGACTAACCTACAGCTTGTCTTCAAATAAAGTGGTTACAATTTATAACAGATGTCAATATTTTGATATGGATATATTTAGCAAACAGGCTTAATCTTTTTATGAAATGAAGGTCTGAATATTAATGTTAAAATATTACTGCTAATAAAGAATATGAAATATATATTACTTTGTTATATGACAGGGATTGTCTCCTTTAAATTTTCTCAGTGCATATTGTAATTTTTGTTTGGGATACCAGGTTGATTCTTCATCTTCATCATCATCATCTCTTGCTGTAAAACAATCATCATTAACTGTCAAACAGTTGGTAAAGCAATTTTATGTTTTAGTTTATATCAATCAAAATAGAAATCTATGTCCATTTTTTTTTACACCATGTGGGCTAATGAAGACGGGAAACACCATGCAAGGTGCAATGAGGGAAATTTTGCCAGGACAAGGGCATTAGCCTGCTCTTTCGATTTCCAAAATGTGCACAGCCTGTGGCACACGGGGGCCTCAGTTTATTGTCTCATCCGAATGACTAGACCTGCATCACTGACAAGGGGAAACCGAGAAATCTTAGAATGACTTTGCCAGCACAGGCACAATTTATGTTTTTGAATTTTTTTTCTTTTTCTGTAAAAAATTTTCAGAGAGAAGTGTATATTTTTTATTAAATGAAAATTACAAAAACTTTTCATCCAGGTAAAGATTTTTCAAACCTTTATTTTTTTTTTTATGTACTAATATTTCAGTATTACATCTTTTTTAATATTACATAGTTTTGAAGTAAAATTTCTTACCATCAGCTGTCATTAACATTTCATTTCTTTGTTTTTCAGCAAAATTCTAAAGAAAGAAAAATATTCCACATTGACTTCTATAAACAAAACTTTTGATACTACAGAATTTTGAACACTGATGTATGAATAAGTAATTCATGATGGAATAACTTGGTATAACTTATATCCATCCCCAAATAGTCCGAAATTTCATACAAAAAATTGACTGACTGTACTTACCAGCCAGTCTACAGAAGGTTCTTTAACAAAGACATCCATAGTATTAACTAGTAGATCATAATCTTGTCGTAGAGCTCTAGTAGTATGTATCATGGTATTTTCTAGTAATCCTTTAATCCCTAATGGTAGAGTTAGGTTGATAATCTGACGTGTCAATCTAAATGGCATCAACTCTGGTACTGGTAAAAACTACAAGAAAAATATGTTGCCTTTTAAACAGAAACTTTACTGATTATTTGGATAAGAACCCATCAAAATTTGTTTTTTTATCTTGATATTCTTTGTGTATTTGTAATCTAACAAGTTTCTACTACAGTCCTGTTCTAATGGCGTTATCTTTAAATAACCAATGAATGTTGAATAGCAAAACCAAAAGAGGCTGTCATATTACTCTACTTTGCATTTTGCTATTGCTCCATTCCTCATTTCCTATTTGTTTATACAGTAAAAGAAACTCATCTTCTGAAAAACATATTAAAGGGACAGGTGCACCATTTTGGAGGATTAATTTGAGTCTTGAATATATAGTCTTCTGAAGTATTAGGAATTTTACTCACTTTTGCAATATATATGTCTTTTCTATATATTACAGAGTATCTTAAATTTACGAGTCGTCATTTTAACATTCAAACTCAGATAATTCTGGACACACATGGATTTGAAGACTCAAATTTCGACCGTGAGCTGTGAACACTGATTGGCTTCGCTCAAAAATTCCCATTTCTGAGACTAAGGTGTGACTGGTCAAAAAATAATGAAGCACCTGGCCCTTTAAGTTTTGTGTCCTATTGGTTTTAATCAATTCATTCTGTGGTAATGTTCTACTCTATTTAGCATGATCATGGGTGCATTCGTAAAAATCCTGAGGGAATTTAAGACAAATACATTAAATATTTCCATTAATTACCTGTGTAGCTGATCCAAAATTATGACCAAAATCAATACCCACCATTCCTCCAGTCTTCAAATTGATCATAAAATTAGATAAATGTCTATCACCTATACCAAGGAAATATTGACAGATTGATATAGTAGCATGAGTTACTACTAATTCACACCGTAATACATGAAAGGCTTCTGGTGATGTACTCATTTGATGGAATGCTCGTCTGAAAGTAAAGTAAAGTTAAGTGTAAAGTTAAGTGTAAAGTAAAAGTAAAAAGTAAAAAGTAAAAGTAAAAAGTAAAAAGTAAAAAGTAAAAGTAAAAAGTAAAAAGTAAAAGTAAAAGTAAAAAGTAAAAGTAAAAGTAAAAGTAAAAGTAAAGTAAAGTAAAGTAAAGTAAAGTAAAGTAAAGTAAAGTAAAGTAAAGTAAAGTAAAGTAAAGTAAAGTAAAGTAAAGTAAAGTAAAGTAAAGTAAAGTAAAGTAAAGTAAAGTGTAGAGTGGTGTAGATAACAGAAACATCCATATTTTACAAATATAACTTTGGTCAAGAGGACCATGTCTTTCAGCTGGTCCTTTAGTCTTTGCAACATTCAGTTGTGTACTTGCATAAAATAAAAAAGAACAAACCTGAAGAGATCCCAGGGTACTTTATTTTCTTTCATTCTAAAATCTTTAATAGTTTCAGCTCTAGAGTAGTTCTGATATACTTTCTGATACATAGACTTAATACATCTTTTCTTAGCATCAAAATACTTATACGTCCAATTTTCATGTTGTTTACCTGGCCCTTGACTGGAAAATAATCATATTGAAATAACATTTGATCAATTCACACTTGATGGATTAAGTTTTGTCTGAACTGTCTGTAATAAGGCATTTTTATACTAGCTGGATCATTATATAATTATCGGCTTAAAAATACTTTTTGTTCCTAAAGACAGTAATGTATATCACATAAATAACTGTGAATCCAACAACGTTCAAGTAATTACCAAATAATTATGGTAATAGTAATTCATAGACTGCTCTAGTTTATCTAATGAATTGTTTACATACGAGCATTTGTTCAGTTATTCAGAGGTGTCAAGGTTGTAGCTAAAAAATATTCAGCTGGGGCTCATAACATATCCAAAATTTGGTCATGCGCTGTCTGGTTAAGCTGGCTGTTGGCTATTGTCTACCACTGCCGACCACCATAGCTACAACCTTGGGTTGTATGAAATCATTGGGCAATATGTAATTGAAACCAGTCATGATAATAAGTGAGAGAGCTTTTGGTCCATTTCAAAAATATAGACAGATACTCACTCTCCTAATATATATTTGCGTTCTTGTTCAGTTAATGCTCCATATACAAAATCTTTCAATGGAGTAGTATTGTTCATCCATTCTATTAAACCAACTCTACAAACACATTAAAGATACATATTATCCATTAGATGCCTTTTGCATGTATCAAACTTTTATGTGTTAATGGCCCATACCCCCCTGCACAATATATCTGATGATAAAAATGTATCATATGAACATATACAAGTTAAAATACATAAAAAAAATTACTGTAGAAAGTATAGATTCCTAAGCCTACTTATTCTTGCCATCTAAGTACCTACCTGGGTGTCATTGGTATAACTTGATATGTTTTTAAATGTAATTTTCTATGTCTGCACACAGGATCTTTATCAAAAACTTTATTCATGATGACAAATAACTGTTCAATCCTGGCATCTTGTCTTAAATCTTCTCCACCCTTTACTAGATAATGATAATCTTTCTCATCATTACCACGTATTGTTATTCTTTTAGGTCGTCGTAGTGATGACATTACCAATACCTACAAGGTAATAAAATAAAATATTGAATGGGATAGTCTTTTGTCTTAATCAAACTAAAAATCAGGCCGCGTATTTTCGAAACGATATTAGCGCTAGAATGTCCTAGGGCCTTAACATCTTACACTGTGTCTAGGACATCCTAGCGCTAAGATCGTTTTGAGAATATGTGGCCTTCAGAAGTTGCCGACACTATATTGACAAAAACAAGAAATTTGAAAATAAAAAGTTGAACATACATTTAACACATAAGACATATTACGCACATACTTACTGTGCATATGATACATGTATTCACATACAAAATAGCACATAATATTGTGAACATACCACATAAGAAATATTGTGATCATACATGTAACTAACACATAAGAAATATTGTGATCATGAACAGACATGTCACACAAAAGAAATATTGTGATCATACATCTTACTTACACTTAAGAAATATTGTGATCATGTATATGTAACACAAAAGAAATATTGTGATCATAAACATATGTGTAACACAAAAGTAATATTGTGATCATACATGTAACTAATGCATAAGAAATATTGTGATCATGTATATATATGTAACACAAAAGAAATATTGTGATCATAAACATATGTGTAACACAAAATAATATTGTGATCATATATGTAACTAACACATAAGAAATATTGTGATCATTTACATACATATAACACAAAAGAAATATTGTGATCAGAAACATACATGTAACACAAAAGACATTTTGTGATCATACATGTAAAACATAAGAAAATATTTAAAAGAAATACTGTGATCATACATGTAACACATAAGAAATATTGTGGTTTTGATAATGAATATATAAATGCCAAAAATATTGTGATCCTATATTGTGGTTTAAATGTCAAGCAACAGATGCATAAGTAATACTAAAAATAAAACATATAAAGAACATAATTACCCTTTCATCAAAGCCAGCAACTTTAACATGATATTCTGGTAATGGTTTACTTAATCCATCATATTGTCCTGTAAAAACACATGTATATACTTACACTTTCTGCAAATTTTCTAAGAAATTTTGGAATATTAATATCAACAATAAAATCCTTTATAGTAACTTGGTATCCATTTGCTGATACCATAACATAGATATTTGGATAGTAAATTAATAATGCATCTTTAGTCTAATTCAAAAAATGTACAAATGCAAAATAAACTCTTTATGAATTACCGGTAGCAGTACTACAAAATTAGGTTAGCCAGCTAATTAGCCAAATATGGCAATATCAAACAATTTAACTAAATGAATTTGGAATAACTGCATGCGCTTTGCATCTTGTAGAGAGTACCTACCTGGAATTTCTAGCTCTCTGCTATCTCTGTTAGGATTGAAATCTGCCAGCCATTGACAATATTCATGTAATGACAATGGTGGCACTAGCTTTCCACGACCTTTCTTATGTTTATCAAATTCACCATTTAATTTTACATGATGATTTACAAAATCCTGAAAAGCACAATAAAATTTTGGATAATTTTTAGCATATTTAAGTGGTTTATGTCTTTTTCTGCCGATTCCTGTTGTCATCATACAGAAATTTACATTAATCAATCAAAGATATTGAAAAAAGCAAAACGATTGATCTTCCAACAAATAGTGCATTTGGTTGACATCTAGAACTACAGATAGCAGAAGTCTTGGCCATGATGGTAAATTTGCAACAAACATTTATAATGCTGATTGCTCGTGATCAGTTTCAATAAAACAATTGTGTTATTACCTTTATAGACATGCTGGCCAACTTTTCTCCATTTTTACCAAAAGCAATATCAAAATCCTTCTTAAATGTCTGCAATAAAAGCAATAATAAGGGTAACTTAAAAGCAACAGCCCTAAATGAAATGAATTCCTATTGGCCCCCTTGCTAGTTTGACCAACATTAATATATGCACAGCTAGTGAGTAAAACACCTCAGTCATTGTGATAATGTTTAAAATTCAAATCTTTATCCATCAAAACACAAAACTTTAGTAATGTATTAGTTCATGGTAGACTAGAACCCCTTTCATCAACTCCCTGAAACAGTTGCATTGGAATACAAGTTGAATATATTTTTTCTTGTAATCTCTCCAGAAGTAATAATCTATGAATAATCTTCAGTAAAACATATTCTGTTTGAATTAAAATAGTTTTCATTTTGAAATCTATAGTTTCTACTTGTGACCTAGGCCAGTGCTTCTATAGGAGAGTATCTTTTATAACACCTATAACTAATCACATTAATGATTGGTAATTGGTTAAATTGAAGGTTGTATGTATTTGTCTTAAATGACCACACCACCATCTTCCTGTATCAAGAAATGTTGACTTATTCAAAACTGATTTAAAAAATCCAAAAAAAGCAAAATGCCACAAAGCATACTCACATCAGCAAATTTTTTCCTGTATTCACCCATACCAACATTTGTAGTTTGAGTCATGTATGAGAGTTGTGTTGAAGAAGTGTCTTGTGTTTCTTTATATTCTATCAACATATTATAAATCTCTTTATATTTCTCCATTATCTTTGATTTATTACGATTTTTACTTTGTAACATCTTCTTTATATCATCAGTCCAATCCTATAATTAATATTTATATACATAATCTTATATTTATTATAATATTTACACTGTAGCATCTTCTTTATATCAACCGTACAATCCTATATTTATATAACATAAACTTATATTTATTATAATATTTACAATGTAACATCTTCTTTATATCAACAGTCCTATAATTAATATTTATTAGAATTTTTACACTGTAGCATCTTCTTTATATCAACAATCCAATCCTATATTCATAAAACATAATCTTATATTTTTATTATAATTTTTACACTGTAGCATCTTCTTTATATCAACAATCCAATCCTATATTTATAAAACACAATCTTATATATTTATTAGAATTTTTACACTGTAGCATCTTCTTATATCAACAATCCAATCCTATATTTATAAAACATAATCTTATATATTTATTATTATTTTTACACTGTAGCATCTTCTTATATCAACAATCCAATCCTATATTTATAAAACATAATCTTATATATTTACTAGAATTTTTACACTGTAGCATCTTCTTATATCAACAATCCAATCCTATATTTATAAAACATAATCTTATATATTTATTATTATTTTTACACTGTAGCATCTTCTTATATCAACAATCCAATCCTATATTTATAAAACATAATCTTATATATTTACTAGAATTTTTACACTGTAGCATCTTCTTATATCAACAATCCAATCCTATATTTATAAAACATAATCTTATATATTTATTATTATTTTTACACTGTAGCATCTTCTTATATCAACAATCCAATCCTATATTTATAAAACATAATCTTATATATTTATTATTATTTTTACACTGTAGCATCTTCTTATATCAACAATCCAATCCTATATTTATAAAACATAATCTTATATATTTATTATTATTTTTACACTGTAGCATCTTCTTTATATCAACAATCCAATCCTATATTTATAAAACATAATCTTATATATTTATTAGAATTTTTATACTGTAGCATCTTCTTATATCAACAATCCAATCCTATATTTATAAAACATAATCTTATATATTTATTATAATTTTTACAATGTAACATCTTCTTTATATCAACAATCCAATCCTATATTTATAAAACATAATCTTATATATTTATTATAATTTTTACACTGTAGCATCTTCTTTATATCAACAATCCAATCCTATATTTATAAAACATAATCTTATATATTTATTATAATTTTTACAATGTAGCATCTTCTTTATATCAACAGTACAATGCTCTAATTAAGATCTATATAACATAATCTTATAACTATTATAAATTTACTATGTAACGTTTAGTTTATATCAACAGTTACTTTCTTACCTTAAATAACATTTCAGGCTGACCAAATTGATCTAAGGCACTAATAAATTTATTGACTAATGGTACTTTATCTTCAGTTAGTATTGATGCCAACCTAAAAATCAGAAAAATCACAAAATCATCTGACTTAAATGCCTGAAAACATATTGATTTGATTGAGATGAATAAGCATCTTAACTAACCCCTGGCTTCTGACAATATGGTAAAATAAGCCTTTTTAAGGCTATTCCAGGCACTTACTTTTTAACTGCTTCCTTATTTTTCTTGCCTTGTGCCGAATCTTCAAATTCGAATCCTTCACAACTGATACGGAATGGGTATGCAATGGCCTACAACAAAATATTAATATATGAATGAACATCAAAATTACCTTAGTCAATAGGTATCTATCAAGGGCAAGACAAAAGGCAGTAATGCTAGGTGTATCCTTAGTGTCCTGCAGGTACTGCATCTGTGTTTGCCACGGTGAACACCATGAAGTTGGAAACACTTTCAAAATCAGCACTACATTTTGGGCAAACTGGCCTTCTATAGCCACCTTGAACCGTACGCTTTGGTATACATTTCAAACTGGATTTCCTTTCGAGACTAGACTTGTGGTTGCACAATGCAATATTCTTATCATTGGAAATGAAATCAAAATCCTACCTGTGGATATTCTGTACCTATTTGTAATAAGATTGGTTGAACAGCTGGTGATTCTGTTTTATCTATTAATGCCATCATCTGATTAATCCATAATAAAAACATCCATACTGGTACTTCTCTAGCCTATATATAGAGCAGGCAATGCATTGAAATTTTATCTTATGCTCGCCTTTGTGTCTTTTGCATAGCAGAGAGATAGCACAGTCTTTAGTATAGTCTTTAGCACAGTCTGAAGCATAGTCTGTAGCGCAGTCTGTAGCAGTCTATGGCATAGTCTGTAGCATGGTCTGTAACACAGTCTGTAACACAGTCTGAAGCACAGTCTGAAGCACAGTCTGAAGCAAAGTCTGTAACACAGTCTGTAGCACAGTCTGTAGCATAGTCTATGGCATAGTCTGTAGCACAGTCTGAAGCACAGTCTGAAGCATAGTCTGTAGCACAGTCTGAAGCATAGTCTGTAGCACAGTCTGAAGCACAGTCTGAAGCACAGTCTGTAGTATATTCTTTAGCATAGTCTGTAGCACTGTAGTATTCAACCATTCAGAACTCCCTTGCTCAAGATGAAATTTCTATTTCACAAGGGAAAAGGCGGTTTTCACTCACCATTTTGATAAAAGTAGGCATTGTATCAGGGTATAGCTCAACGAATTGTAATAAACGGGGAAATCTCTCTATAGCTTCCATAGAACCTAGTTTCATAGCTTTTAATAAACATATTATAATTGTTTCACCATAATTTTCTATTACTTTCTCTTTGATATGTTCTTCTTCTGGAAAATACAATCAAGTGAGGCATAAAGGAACAATTCCAATGCATTATTAAATCCTAAGTCTATCATCAGAACATTATTAGAAATGGAGTCTCTTTGAAAGGAATTTCAAGTTGGCAAACCCAATCACAAAGTTTCCACAGGGATAAACATGTCCCGCAGTAATCATTGTAGTAGAGTTTATATTTGATGAGGTGTTGTGTTGAAAGAAGGCCTAAGGGACAGTCTTGTCCACCAACAGATTAAGCAGCCATAGCCAAGAACCAGCCATAGCCACTCTAGCTGGCCTGATTTACAAGGGAAAAGGGAATACAAATTCAAAAGGCCATTTACTTCCATCTAATCAAGACTACAATTTCATTTCCTTTTTCAGAAGCACTTTTTCACTGGTCTCAATAACTGAGCTTAAAATATGATACTATCTTTTAAGTTCACATGCAAAAAAAAGAAAAAATATAACAATTATTCTTACCATTTTCTTTCATTCTAAGAAATTTATCACAGAATTTACTAAGAGCTATTTGTGCGTCTGCTTCTGTGAAGGATTCTGACCTTGACCTTGTTACAACACTATCTGATATAGCAGATTTTAGTTCTTGGTGTGATTTCTGGAGCAAATCACTAACAATCTACAAGAAAATTAAAATAAAACAGATCATGACATCACTAGCGCAGATGTCATTTAAATCAAACAGTGTTTGGTTAGTTAGATCATAATTTGGTATGTAATAGCCCTAAAAGGTACTGACGAGATCACATATCAAGTCCGAGTTCAGATGACTGTTTTTTGTAAAACAGAAAAGTTTTCTTAAAACGTTTTGACTTCCCTTCAGTAACCTCAAAGATCATATGAGCAGAAAACAACAAAAAAAGAACAAAAAGGTTTTAAACAGAACCAAGAATAATCAGTTGTTGCTTAGCAACACAATTATGTACCATAAGCTTGTTAAACTTTTGATGTTTCACATTTACCTGTGTTTTGTCCAAATTGTCTGTTTTGAGAAGATTTTTTAATTTATCACAAGTCTTAGATGATAAACTTTGTGGTAATTCTGCAGCTAGACATGATTCAGCTAGTAATTCATATGATGTAGCTGTTAGGACATGATGACGTCTGTATAAATCTGGTTTACTTTTCAATACATCACTGTCATTGAATTTACCTTCAAATATTAGAAATAAGCAAAAATAAGTCAAATGAAATGAAATGAAATGAATGGAGTTTTACATCCTACTTTTCTGCACCATGTGGGCTAATGAAGACGGGCAACGCCATGCAGGGTGCGATGAGGGAAATTTTGACAGGACAGCGGCATTAGCCTGCTCTTTTTCGATTTCCTTGAATCTCGAAGGATCTTTAACAGTCTGTAGCACATGGGACCTCGGATTATTGTCCCATCCGAACGACGCTTGCAGCACTGACAGGACTGATTTGGAATATTCCCATGGTAATTATAGTCAAAAATAAAATAGAATCAACAAATGGGGATGAAATAACATACCAAGTTGACCTATGGTAGTTAGTAAACCATTGATACCATCTTCAGACCAATCATTACTAATAATCTTCTTCTGGTGGGTACTAGCATAGAGTTGACTCCATTCTACTTTCAATTCTTCATTATCAACTGATTTAATAGCCTGAATAAAATATCAAATCAGTTATAATCAGTTTGCTATTTTGTTTACATGCTTTATTTTTTGGAATGACCTAGCCTCTCCTGTTGGAAAGTTGAAGAGGTACATGTAGCATCTATTTCCGCATTCTACATTTCTGCATCAAATTGAGCAAATAAAAGTATGCAATTGCTCACACTATTAAATGAATTAACGAGAACAGTGGAAGTCTTTCTTTAAATTCTCATTTGGTGAGGAATCTTTGACTTAAGCAACCTGAAGATGGGCCTATATCTTCATCTAATCAGAATGCCTTATTCCACTCCAGGTACATTAATTTGTCAATCAATCCCTAGAAACCTACACATAATGTAGGCCACTCTGACTCCAAAAGAACCACATATGGAATCCAGGCACAAATTGAATTAAGGACTATCAATATCTTACAGAGTTTGTTTTCTTCAATATACGTAATGTTAGAGCTATATTGTTCTGTTCTTTACAGCTTTCAGCCATTGCTAAATATAATCTTAATTTAGACTGGTGAAACATGTCTCCTTCATCCATCTCTTGTGATTCTTTATTCTTGCCAGCTAAACACTGGCTGATGTGGTCTAAATAAACATTTCTGAAACAAAGCAAATTATTAATTGATAAGGCATATAAAATACTTAAAGGGACTGTACAGAGATTTTCTTGACTTTCTAATGTGCATTGGGGGCTCTGAGAGCATCCATGTGCATCATTCCAATTTTCAATCAGAAGCCTGTGGTTCTTGAAATTGCATTAAGACTAAACATTTCATTATTATGGTAAAGGTCCCCAATACACTTAAAAAATAAGAAAACATCTTTACCATCCTTTTAAGCACTCTTGATACCACATTGAACATGGCAAAGTTAATGAAACCATAATTTTACAAATGAGCTCTTCCAATCATACATACAAAATTACTAACATTGTGATAGTAGCCATTTTACTTTTAGCAGCAAAATAAAGGTTAAAGTTCAATGTGGATTTGTTTTTGTGTTAACAGACAAGCAATCAAAAGCTGAAAAGATAGCTTGCCAGGCAAGGTAATATACGCCCACTTGATTTTGAATAAAAATATTTAGCAGTACAGTAACAATCACCAGTATGAAATATTCAACCTTCAGTCATACACTTCTTTTGAACTCTTTAGCACAACACTGAATAATATTGAATATGAGTTATTGCCCTTGTTCTTGAAAAAGTGTTCAAGTTTTAGCTCGTGTAAACTCATAATTTCAATGGTTTTGTCGTTCATTGTTAGATCGTTAAAACCCATTATCAAAGCGTGAAATTTTGGATCTCCCAAAGCTACCATTAAACGAGCATAATGTCATTTTACATCAACTAGAAGCAATTAAGAATTAAAATAACCAAGTTAAAATACAGAGACTTGGAAAAAGCCACGGTTGTTACCTTTGTGATATAACATCATCCCAGATATTAACTGGATCTAATAATTTATGTGGTTGTCGTTTCTGCCATGATTTTAATAACTGATTAGCAGTTGTGTGGGTAATATCATCTGAAATGATGTGAAATTCTTCCATTTTATCCATGACACTTTTTAACATTTTAACAAGAATTCCAATCAGTCAATAGGCTGATGTAGGGAACCTCTGGGCAAAAATTTCCAACCCTTTATGTGGTAAAAATATGCGCACTATACACACAAATATATAGTAATCAATAAAGTCACTGCAATGGGATCAACCAGTCTTTTTAGTATTATGCATTTAACTTAAAGTTGCAGTGTGTTTAATTACCAGCCCAAGGTTCTCGAGGAAACAGATCAAAACTTGTTAGTATGGAATGCCAAAACGGAAAAAATCCAACATAAAAAAATCACATATCACATGAATCTTGGACCTTAAATATCTTGCAACATAATATTTTGGGGAGTAAATATAAATACCCGAGTTTCTTGGTATAAAATTAAAACTTCTTGATATGTGATTTTTTTCATCTTGGATTTTTTTCCGTTTTAGCATTCCATATGTTAGTGCATATTTGTTAAAAATGCCTCCATATTGCCCATATTACCATGAACAAGATGAAAATACATGATTTTCCTACTAACTGTAGCTCAAGCACAAAGTATCTATCGAGACCACTCAAATATACATGTATTTCAAAATGGCAGTTTTAAGCTATATACAATCAAATTTTAACTTACTTTCATTTGATATATAAGTAAGAAATTCATGAAGTTCTACTAATGGTTGTAGAGTTTGTAGTTGTGATGTTCTACTAGCTACTATTAATGTATCTGTACTACTCCAATCCTAAACATTTGCCAAAAAATAAGATTAACCAATAAATAAATTTAAATATCATTTAAAAAAAAACATTTACACCTCTCAAAAAATTGACTAAAATAACCAATATGATTGGATCACAAAACGAAAGACTTAAACATTGTATGGTGCAGAAAGATTAAGAACCAATAAACCTAACGACTGATAATATTAATTGGTTTATATTTAACACAAGTAATTATTGAACAGATTTGCAAATATTAAATATAACTAAATCTAAGAGCCACAAAATGCCCCCATTTCTGTTAAAATATAAAACAAATCAAAAAAATTCTGCAAAATTAACTATACCTGTAAAAATTTCTGTAATGCCAAATTAGCATAATGTCTGGCTCTATCATAATTATCTTGCCATAAATACATTAATGATAATTCCATACTATATCGACTCTACAAAAACAGTATTAAACAATTCTATGTCTATGATAAAATCGTTTTGCTTTTCATATGCGGGTCTGTTGGTGCTAGTTGATAACACCATTGTAATGCATTGCATACTCATTTGCCCTCTGTCACCCATTTGATAAATAACTCTCTTATCTAGATATGGCAATCAATAATAGGCATCGAAAAATATCAATCATTTAATTTGATTCACAGAATATGGTTATTTATTTCAATTTCAGCTCAGAAATATTAAAAGAGAACCTGAAACATGTAGTTATACACCCTGCACAATCTTCAGACAACTGACCTATTTCAGCCTGTGTCCCTACTGAAGTTTGTTCGGTAGGTTTTCATGTCAACATTTCAAGACAAAATCATAACGTTTTTTTAAAGACATGTGCTTAGGGGCATTAATGTTGGGAGAGCTTTTCAATTAAAAACAGGTTACATTGTTTGGTTTTATTTTGCTTTAGCTCTGCTTTTAATTGCCAATCAAGAAATGATATAATAGTACACTAACCTCTAGGACAGCTCTGTATTCAGTAGTCTTCATGGATGTATCAACAAATGTTAATAAACTCTGCTGATCTCCACCCAATAATAATAATTTTAATTTACTTCTAATAATATATGGTAAATAATGTTCCTAAAAACACAAAATATTGAAATATACACCTGTTGCTCTTGCCTAATATTTTGCAGGGCTGAAGTATTTTTGTTAAATGAACTTTACAACCCAAGGCAAGTCTTCGCGAATGTGTTTATGGAGAGCAACTAGATTTTCAACCACTCATAGCAAATGGCCGCATGCGTGAAATATAATCCAATTCTACAGTTTTTCATCTTCTTCTTTCCAGCAAACAGTGTAAGCATTTGCTTCCGCCCTACTGTTTCAGAGGTTGGGCTTCTACGATTCTTGAAGTTGCGATTCGACACACTATACGATACTCATCCAATTTATTACGATAACTATTGCGATTCATTTATTAGAGAAGGAAAGAGAAGAAATAGTAGAAATTTATAAATTTACTACCAAGTTTGTCACTATTAAGTACTTGAGAACATTTAGAAGTAAGGAATTGTGAAAAAAATCCAAATTTTTAAAGTCAGAAATAAATTTTGATGTGAAAATCAGACTTGGAAAATGTAAACATGACACAATTTCTTATACACACAAGGATTCTGTGTCATTTGTTATTAAAGGGGGCTAAGAATTAATGTATTATTTTTATCAAATGCAATGCATCAATAAGAAAGAAAGAATTGCAGTTCATCGATTCGTCAGTGAATCGTTGCAGCCCTAGTTTGCGGTAATATGTATTAAAACTGAAATATGTTGTTTCTCAAAGTTTCACACTGTACGATCTTCAGACAACTGTTATTGTATGTTTGTCTACAAACAAAACAATTAAAGTATAATTCTCACCTGATATAATGTGTCTTCCCATACTTTATCTAAATTAGGTAGCTCAGTATTATCTATAGCAGTTAAACATACTGTCTCTAAATCTTTCCATTGAGTCAGGTGATCTAAACACTGACACAATAACAGAGGCTAATTAGTAATATTAATATAATAAATATGCATTCTGTCAAATACGAAGACTCTCTGCATCATTCAGTCCATCTTTACAATGGTCAAGGTATTGCGAACTTACATGTAATACCTTGACTGCAATAGCCATCTATCTTCCTTGTATCACAAAAGTTTGCAAATGTAGCAATTTAGTTGGATTGGCAAATACAGCCAATCAGTCCTCGACAGAAAGTGTAAATAATAAGCCATAATCTTTACAGCATTTCTATCGAGGCCATTGATTGGCTTAATTAAATGGCCTATTAAGTAATCAAATGACTGAATTCAGAGATTCAAGAAAGTGGCCATTGTAGTCAAGGTATTAGACAAAGTTTGTAATAGCTCGACATTGTGAAGATGCATTCAGTCATAAAGAGGATAACAGGCCCAAATGTAGTTACACCATCTAAATAATACATTAATACAATAGATATTTGAGAAAGATCACACATCTGAAGACACCATGCCATTTTGGGGTAAGTGTAACGTGTAAATTCTAAAAAAAATGACAAGATGCAGCTTCTTGCCCGATTACATACTACATTATGTATCTTAAATTCAAATATGATTCAATTTGAAGTTTCACTTTCATTTACCTGCATTCTGGAGTCATCCCAAAAATCAATTTCAGCTTCCAATGGATCTTCACCTGCCCAGTCTTGAATAGAGAGAGCCTGTAATATTCAAAATAAATATGGTGGATTCATCATGTCAAATTTTGGTGATAATCTACTGGTAGTTGATTTCTAATGTATGGGCATACTGTGGAACTTTCCTCTCTGGTTGAGACAAATGCCCTTTCTAATTGAATCAACAATCTTAGTGAAAATTTTTAGGCTGAAAAGTGCTTCAATCCCATCAGGCATCAGTTATTATATAACCAAGTCCACTATGGCATAAAAAGATCAGATACATATGGATGCAGATTTCTTTTTTTTTTTTTATTCGAGTTCTTGGACCTATACTGAGAACAATTTGGTCAAGTAATGGAAAGAATTTTTTAGTTCATTTTCAACATAAAAAGCTTAAAAATGAACTGACCTCATCATACAGTTTATTGGCTGTTTGGTAGTCACCTTTAGATTCAGCCATCATTGCTTCCTGGGTAATAGGTTTAGTATCTATTTTACCACTAAATATACCGTGTAACACGTCATAGTTCTCTACTGACTTATATAACCTAGAAAATAGTACTGGTAATATTAAAATAAAACTTGAATAATATTTCTAAGCAATTGATGTATTGAGCACTATTTTAACAGTTGTTGTTACTTTCGCCCATCTTTGAAATCCCACGACCTGTTCATTACATGTCACTTACCAATGGATGCATTTGATACATAATTGTTGGTGAAGTCAACTTTGATTGGATTGGAAATTGTAAAATTATTTTGACCGATGAAAAGTATTGTTTCAAAAGCAGAGTTCCGTTTTGTACGAAATCCAATAAATTAGACTTTCTCACCAATATCAATGTGTCTAATACCACGGTAGCTAAGTGACAGATAATGAGCAGGTCACGGAATGTCTTTGAAGAAGAAAAGGGCAAAAACACAAAAAAGCGAACTTCTGAGCCATAGAATTTCAATTTTTCATTATGTTACATTAGAATTTTATAAAATGAAATGAAATGAATGGAGTTTAACATCCTACTTTTCTGCACCATGTGGGCTAATGAAGACGGGCAACGCCATGCAGGGTGCAATGAAAGAAACCTTCAGGCTTCATTAACATTATATGAGATAAAGATGCAAAGAAAATATGGCAGCAAACAGCCACCAAGAAGGCATATAATTTTGATACAAGAAATAATCATGAACAAAGTAAACAATTTCTAATAGTTATACCTGGCCATTTCTATCCATAGATTAACATCAGTAGAAACAGTAGTACCCTCAGTTTTTCTACGTTTATTACCTCTCTGTTCAGTACTGTCGGTCTGTATCAATTGTTCTTCTAATACCACTATACCTGATGACGACAATAGTAAATTGTTGAAACATTGTGCTCAATAAAACCTGGTAGTGCACAAGCGGGCAACCCAAAAGTACAGTAAATACAAAAAGTATGTATGAAAAGTTCACAGCTTTTCAAATTATATTTGATTAATAATCATTACTAACATCAAAAATCCTGCAATTACAGAGTATAATGACGTGTAAAGGGAGAGGACATTAACAAATGTATTAAGTGCAGTAAGATAATTATGTAGATGTTTACCTAATGGCTGAAGACTGCTAACTATTGCACAGGTACTTAAATTAGATGGACTAATCTTTAGTCTTGACCTCAAAACATATACGATATCCTAGAAAAATAAATATAAAGAGACCACTATACATACATAAATATTAAAATTTGCAGAACAAATTATCAACAAGATCATAGGCCTTTCACAAGCCAAAGGGCCATAACTCAAAATTGCATTTTACATTTGTGACATTAAACTTTGAGTTAGGAAAAAGGTGATATTTACATCAAAGATATATATGTTTGTACAAATGATTCAGAAATCAATGCTAAATGTGCAACTTAGTCATGGTTTTTGGGTAACGTCTTTAACCACATTCTTCATTATGCAATGGATTGTGTAAAAATGTTAAGCAGAAGTCGGGTTGCAAAAGTAGGGTTGCAAATAATCAAAGTAGCCATGAGTTTCAAATGCAACTCAGTTGCACGAGAGTTACTCAAATTTTATGACCGCTATTCTAATTTGCAAACATACACAACTAGTGATCAGTGATCAATGAAAACCTCTCAATTTTCGAGAATAAGACCATAGAAAAATAAAATTGACCACTTGACCAAAGATCATTGATGTTTTATCATTAGAAAGCCAGTAAATCTATTCTTACCATAATACAACTAAGAAATGGAGGATAATATTGACTAGTTGTATTAAACATAGTTTCAACACTAGTATTAATCAACTCTATAGTCTCTTCCATTTCTCTTTCTGTTTTTACTTCATCCATTTTCTTATAAATAGCTTTAAATAAGGAGCTAAATAATAGCTTAGCTATAGTACTGTCTCTCTGAAATGGAAGAGGTATAAACTATACATCAAGTTTGATGTCAGCAAAATCAACCAAACTGATAAAATATGGAGCTAACATGAGCTACAGCTTGAGGTGGAGCTATGATATAATTTTATCTAAAGCTAACATTGTTGCCATAATAAAATAACATGAGCTTGGTGTAGAGCTATCATATAACTAACATAAGCTTAATCTTGAAATGGGATATTATATAATTCTATTAAGTTAAATATTGAACTTGAGCTATGATAGAACATACATGCGTTAAAGTTTAAATGGGCTATGATATAATTTACAAGCCCAAAAACGAATGATTGAATTTGAGCTCAAACTTGAAATTACAAAAGCTAAACCTTCAGTAGGGATATGATATAACTTACATGGGCTAAAGTCTGAAGTGGAGCTATGATATAACTTACATGAGCTGAAGTTTGAAGTGGAGATATGATATAACTTACATGAGCTAAAGTTTGAAGTGGAGCTATGATATACCTTACATGAGCCAAAGCTTGAAGTGGAGCTATGATATAACTTACATGAGCTAAAGTTTGAAGTGGAGCTATGATATAACTTACATGAGCTAAAGCTTGAAGTGGAGCTATGATATAATTTACATGAGCTAAATCTTGAAGTGGAGCTATGATATAACTTACATGAGCTAAAGCTTGAAGTGGAGCTATGATATAACTTACATGAGCCAAAGCTTGAAGTGGAGCTATGATATAACTTACATGAGCTAAAGTTTGAAGTGGAGCTATGATATAACTTACATGAGCTAAAGCTTGAAGTGGAGCTATGATATAAGAATGTTTAATCTGAATATCAGGTAGATCCCCAGTTCTGTATTTTCTGTACATGGTGACTTGATTTTCACGCCTAGACTTCTGTTCCATCAATCTTTCCTGAAATTATTAATCAATTCAATAGTCAATTTCAATTTTAAAAAACATAACTTTAATTAATATAGAGCAGACACATTTATGAAATCCTGATACGTTCCAAAACATAAACAGGTCTAAAAAAAAATATTTTAACTCCTACGTAAAGCACTAGTAAAAGGTCATAAATAGAGGCATCTGATTTAAGAATTTAATTTTAAATGAGCCCTCAACTTTGGTTGTGAATAATGAAAGTGGTTGCAGTTGCATTCGAAACTTATAGCTTGTAGTCTTATTTGGAACCATAAGCATCTGATGGTGACAAATACTGTATAATATGTTGTGAAGGCACCTTACAATAGTGAAAAAACAAAATGGTCTTGCTAGTATAGTTTCAAATATCTCAAAATAAAATATATAAATTTTTTTCTCAAAAGCATTGATGGATCAAAGTTAGGTATTATGAATATATTGCCTTAACTTACCTCCTCCCTTTTACGCAATCGAACATTTTTTTTCATGAAAAACAATCTATCATCTTTATCTTTTTGAAATCTTCGTCGTAATTTCCACACTGTATCAGATTTACTGCCTGAATCTACCAATAGAATGAAATGAAACCCAGTTAAACAATTACACATTCTATTTCATTTATTAAAGCTATCATGATTCAATTATGTTAAAAAAATTAAGACTTTTTCTTCCCCATTGGATTACTGATATTTACTTCTAGAAGTTTCCATAAACAAGTATGACAAGTGAAAATAGTAAATATTAGTAATTCTATGAGAGACAGTCTTCATTTTTTCCTAAATGATCAATTTTAGTATAATTAGAGCATGATAGCTTTAATTTATCCGCTTTCAACTGCAAAAAGTTGTGTTCATAGCAGATCATTAAATTTTTGCCAAAAGTAAATAAAACAAAACACAAGTGCTTAGTTTTGCTGGTCAAAAACTTTTTATCACTTAAGCATACCTTCTGATTTTGGCGCATGTCCAAGTTGTTTAACAATTGTTTGCCGTCGTAAACCAAATCCTGCTTTAGATTGGCGTTTATTAGTAGATTGACTACCAGAAGTACCAACAGAAAATAATAATGAGGATGGTGTTTCGCTACTACTCATACTACCATAGTCACCATAAGTATCTAAACTACTACCAGTTAACCAATTAAATGGAGCATTAGAACCTAAAAAAAATATTCCAGATGACATCTTGTCTTGCACAGCATTCTGTTGCTACAACAAGAAACTTCTCCATCCTATTTGTCTGCTTTTAACTGAGCTGATAATGATGGGATATGCCATGCAGTGTGCATTAAGGGAAATTTTTTAGCCTACTCTTATGGATATGACGTCATAAAATACTTAGTCTTAGTGGAATTGCAAGAACCACAGACATCTTACAAAAAACTTTTATGGAGCAAATTGATGCTATTGGTGTGCCTGATACACATAAAGTGCTTAAAAAACCTCTTTACACTTCCTTGAAAGAGAAGAGATCTTCAGCATTGTTCGGACCACATGAAACTGTCATTGTGCTAAGCGTTCCAGTTGGCCACAGTAGTTTTATGTATGTAATGTAATACATACCAGCATCCTGTGTAGCTGTAAATTGAACATCTTGTGTAGCTCTAACACCACCATCTAAACTATCCTCAACACCTTCCATACTCTCACTTACTGTACTTATTGTAGCAGCAAATAGTGGTGTCATGGCAGCATGGCGCTGTTTCCATGACGATTTCACAGAAAATTCCTGCAAACATTCAATAACATGTTATCCCGGACAAGACACAAGCTCCTGAGAATCCTGTCTGATCTTTGACCAAACCATGGTATGGATCAAACTCAGGAATGGTAACCATGATTGTATTAGATACAATGTTTTATCAAATTTTAACTGAAAAAGTAGGCCTACCTGAAATCTACACTCTGACAAAGGATGTTCGAATATTTCACGTTGATAGTCTGGGCTTTTAGTAGTCATTTCTAATAACAAATTAGTAGCATAGCTCAGATATTGTTGTTCTGTAGATGGTGAATACATAGCTTCAAGCATAGCTACCATTCTATCTAATGTACCAGTTGGCAGACGAGTATCACTACTCCAAAAATTCTGCACCAAAAGTCTGAATAAACATAAAAAACACAACAATTGTAGGCTATTCAAAATAGAATCCAGTGACTTGCAGATGGAAATTATAAATTTAAAGGAGGAAAATCAGATATAGACTTGAAAGTTGGATTTTTCTGAGTTTCCCTGGAACTTACTCTATGCATATGAGTGTATATTTTGTCATTTTGCTTACTCGGTCTATTTTATTTTTTTTGTTAAAATTTCAATGTAATAAATTCGCAAATCACAAATTACACATCAGTTATATAATGATGTACATTTGTACCAAATTTATCATTAGGCACCATGCTTAATGTTTCCAGGACACAATAACTGCAGGGGGTCCATCATTCATTGTTTAATTAATATTTTACCTGCACATCATATCTTCATCTCCTAAACCCTTCAATAAACATTCTTTAGTTTTTAACATTATTTCATGTCCTTCAGTACACTCATCTTCTCTAAAGATAAAAATAGAATGATAAGTTACCATGTTCCATCTCTCTCCTCGAGACTTCCCATAAAGACATTATCCTAACTCAAAATATCTATGAAAATGTCAAATTAGAGATTAATAAATATCATATTATTCCGGCAATGTTCCCTGTGACTTCTACTAATCTATGCTGCCATAACTATTAAATAAAATTGGTCTGTAGAGCCATTTGCGACTCAACAGAGTAAATATCCAGTTGCAGGGCAAATGAAATGAATGGGAGATTAAGATCCTGCTTTTCGGCACCTTATTAAATTAATGATGAAGAGAGATGCCATGTAGTGCATGTATTGTGTGATTCGTTTTATTGCCCAATCTGAACAACATTTTTGTTAAATGTTAGCCATTCCAAACTACATCTCTCATAGAGGACATCAAAGAAGATATCTGAAGATATCATCACAACCTAATCATTTATAGAATCCTAGGTTATCCAGTCCAGCTATCCAACTCCCTACAGGAAGCAGATGAAGGTACATGATAATAATCCATAAAACAAATTAAACCTTACCTATAGTTATCATAAATCCACATTAATAATTCAAACATAACTTTACGACATAAAGTACTAGGATGATGTGAGAAGGCTGTTATGGAATCCATTAATGAACTCATTTCTTTGCTTTTTAATTTCTCTCTTATTGATGTTATTATATTCAGTGCTACCAGTTGAGTCTTTTCATTTCTAAAACAATAACCAAATTCGATGGTGAGTGCCATAACAATAGAATCAAGATAGCTGTAATATGTGTTTGGTCCCTCATGGTACAGACACACCAACAATCTTTGTCCCCGTTTTGAATCTTGGGTAATATCTCATGTGCGCCCGCACTTCCATGACAAAATTATCGCAATGACGACAGGATTATATTTGTCACTGATAGTTTTGTCATCTGCAAGACAGAGCATCATCATCCAATCAGATTCATTTTCCTTCCAATTGCATGATCTGCATGAGATTATCGATAAAGTGGTCACATAAGGAGACAAAACATCTCTGGCCTGTCGGTGAAACTCTAGTCTGAAAAGTTTGTATTCAGAATGTTGTGGTCTGTAAGCTGCTGAAACATTAAGATAACTACGATATACTGTATCTAGTCAATAATCAAATTTTACCTTTGTGTTAAGAATGATAATAATCCTTTAGTTTTTAATTCCATGAAAACATTATCAATCTGACCTATACGACCATGTACCACTTCTAAACATAGTCGTCTACTTTCACCATTTAGATTGGGTAACATAAATAACAGTTTATTCAACAATCTGTAATAAAACAAAAATTATAGTCAATGCTAACACAACCCATACCAAATTGTGCACTCTTTTTTTTTTTCAGCAAGGACTTTTCTGCTAACTAGCCATGCCATACAGCGTAAAATGAAGGAAATTTTTCCAGTTATATATAGCACATGACTTTATGGTGCTACTTTTTTCCACAGCAGCACCCTTCAACTGATATCATTGATGACAGTATTGTTAAAGGGACAGGTAGGCCATTTTTTTCACCAATCATACTTTAGTCTCGGAAACGGGAATTTTTTAGCTAAGCCAATTAGTTATAGTGTTCAAAGCTCACCGTCGAAATTTGAGCCTTCAAATCCATATGTGTCCAGAAATATCCATGATTGAATGTTAAAATGACGAATCATCAATGTGAAAAGACATATATAGAAAAAGTGAGGAAAATCCCAATGAATGAAGTATTTTTAAAGAAATTATTCTATTTACATAACAACCGCCAAAAATAGCGCATTGCCCCTTTAAATTCACACTCTTGACCTATTAGGTCACAGCAACACAGCTTCAGCAACACAATTTCTAATCAATTGCCCAAAATGAGGATGCATGAATATATGTTCAAACAAATCCATGATTATAGAGGATCAAATATCTTAACCATAATATATCTTACCTATCAGCCGTAGGAGGATATTGTTGATGTATTTTATGTATACAATATATAAAGTTATCAGGTTTTGATAACTGTAAAGATGAGATATTGTTGATAATATAGGTATGGAATTCTCCTTCAGTCTCTTGCTCTTTAACTTCCAGATATTTCAATATCATTCCTACAACTTCCCCTGTAGCTGTATAGACAGGTTTTGATTTATCACACATTAAAAATGCTACTGTTGTGAAAAACCTAAAAATAAATAAGACTTTAATAATGATGTACATGTACAGTCTGGACCATAAGGTGGAAATTCACAGGTTACACTTACTTGTGACTATCTACAGGACAGTCTGGACCATGGGGTGGAAATTTACGGGTTATAACTTACTTGTGTCTATCTACAGGACAGTCTGGACCATAAGGTGGAAATTCACAGGTTACACTTACTTGTGTCTATCTACAGGACAGTCTGGACCATGGGGTGGAAATTTACAGGTTATAACTTACTTGTAACTATCTACAGGACAGTCTGTACCATAGGGTGGAAATTCACAGGTTACACTTACTTGTGTCTATCTACAGGACAGTCTGGACCATGGGGTGGAAATTTACGGGTTATAACTTACTTGTAACTATCTACAGGACAGTCTGGACCATAGGGTGGAAATTTACAGGTTATAACTTACTTGTGTCTATCTACAGGACAGTCTGTACCATAGGGTGGAAATTTACAGGTTATAACTTACTTGTAACTATCTACAGGACAGTCTGGACCATGGGGTGGAAATTTACGGGTTATAACTTACTTGTGTCTATCTAGAGGACAGTCTGGATCATAGGGTGGAAATTTACAGGTTATAACTTACTTGTGTCTATCTAGAGGACAGTCTGGACCATAGGGTGGAAATTTACAGGTTATAACTTACTTGTGTCTATCTACAGGACAGTCTGGACCATAGGGTGGAAATTTACAGGTTATAACTACACCTAGTAACTGTATACCAACAGATTTATTCTCTTCACTTTTTAACTGATTGTAAATAATTCTAGAAAAAAAATAAAATGGTCAATCAAAGTACCGGTATAGGCTGTAATAATAAAGATTTTGTACAAGAAAAAGCCGTAAAAAACATAGTCAAATGGTAAACATATCCAGAAGTTTTTCAAAAGATTGCTGACATATCAACAATTAACTTTACTATTAACTTACTTATATGGTATTTCAATTCGGTCATGCCAACATTCTAAAACTGTTTTCAACATTTCCAGATTATTTCTATAAATTTGTTTATTTTTATGATAAATATTAGCCATTAGAAATTGTACTAGTCTGGAGGACATGGCTCTTTCTTCTGCTGTATCCTAAAAAAGTAAATTTGATATTTTACAGTCTGTAGTCTGATATTTTACAGTCTGTAGTCTGATATTTTACAGTCTGTAGTCTGATATTTTACAGTCTGTAGTCTGATATTTTACAATCTGTAAATCTGATATTTTACAGTCTGTAAATCTGATATTTTACTGTCTGTAATCTGATATTTTACAATCTGTAAATCTGATATTTTACAGTCTGTAAATCTGATTTTTTACAATCTTTAAATCTGATATTTTACAATTAGTAAATCTGATATTTCACAATCTGTAAATCATATAAAAAAGCTGAAAGTCTGATATTTCCAAGCAGTAAATCTGATATTTCCAAGCTGTAAATCTGATATTTCCAAGCTGTAAATCTGATATTTCCAAGCTGTAAATCTGATATTTAACAGTCTGTAAATCTGGTATTTAACAGTCTGTAAATCTGATATTTTACAGTCTGTAAATCTGATATTTTACAGTCTGTAAATCTGATATTTTACAGTCTGCAAATCTGATATTTTACAGTCTGCAAATCTGATATTTTACAAAAAATAAATCTGATATTTTACAAAAAATAAATCTGATATTTCACAATCTGTAAATCATATAAAAAGGCTGAAAGTCTGATATTTCCAAGCAGTAAATCTGATATTTCCAAGCTGTAAATCTGATATTTCCAAGCTGTAAATCTGATATTTTACAACTAGTAAATCTGGTATTTAACAGTCTGTAAATCTGATATTTTACAGTCTGTAAATCTGATATTTTACAATCTGTAAATCAGATATGCGGGCTGTAAATCTGATATTTCAATTCCAAGCTGTAAATCTGATATTTCACAGGTTGTAAATCTGATATTTTTACAGCCAGTACATTATATATTTTATCAAATCTGACTTTTGAGCAGAACTGAACTGACATGTATATCCAGTTTCCTGCAATTTTCTATTCAAAGTATATTACCATCAAAAAATATCTAGCATGTTAGGCCTATGATATACCAGTACTTACTCACCTGGGGTATTGATGTGGTATGCCAGGACATCATCATTACTATCAAATCAACATTGAAATAATTAATACCATCAGATGATAATGGACCAGAAAATATCAGCTGACAAAGAGGTCTTAACCAAAACTTAGTGTAAGGCTGGAAAACCTGCAATAAACATTCATAGTAATATTGGATATCAGTTATAAATGCCTATAAGAAAAAACGTGATCTAAGCAGAAGTTTTAAACAGTACATAGTGGCTACAGTCTTAAAGGGACAGATGAGCCATTTTCAGGAGGTTGATTTTAGTCTTGAATATCTGAAGATAGTCTTCAGAAGTACCAGAAATGTACGAAACAGAGAATCTTAAAATCATTTTAACATTCAATTCTGGACATACATGGATTTGAAGGCTAAGATTTCGACTGGGAGCTGTGAACACTATTACTGATTAGCTCAGCTGAAAAATTCCAATTTCTGAGACTAAAGTATGATTGGTAAAAATATTGGCCTACTTGTCCCTTTAACTTCCATGGTACATTTCTTTTGAATTTTGTCAATTTTTTACTTTCGTTTACTACTTTTTTTTTTAGATTGGAATTGATGTAGAATGGGCAAATTCTCTTGGCTTATAATCTTACCTCTGAGGTGTTGAAAATGAGTCGAGCTATAAAGAGTTTGATGTTGAAACTTGTAGCTGGATTTGTCATCTTTTCAGAGAAATAAGACATCCATGTTGGCATTTCCTTTGGTATTGTTCCCTTTAAGGAATCATTATATATATTTACATAATTATTACCACCAAATCATCAGCCAAAACAAAATGAAACGATATGGAATTTTACATCTTACTTTTCTTCTCATAATGGGTTGATGAAGATGGGCAAGCTATTTCAGGACTGTGTGATCAACCAAGCACAAGCAGGCATTGTTGAATAAGTAGGGCTATCACTCATGCTCACCACACCCTTCATAATACTTAATGGTTAGGTCTAGATTCTTGATCAGGGACCTTATTCTTGAAAACTTAACTTAAGATGATTTTAGTGTTCCAGTCATCTGATTGGTCAATCAATAAAAATTAATTATAAATTACGTTTTGTTAATGAAACAAATTACTGTATTTCTTAAATCTAGATTATACTGAAGTTAAGTTTTGGAGAATAAGGCCCCTGATTTATTTTGTAAAAAGTGCCGGGCTAGCTAATCAGAGTTTTCTGCTAATGGCACCTCAAGAGTCCTAGGGAAGCCAAACCTACCTTAAGAACTGGTGTTATAACTGTATGAAGATGTTTTATTAAAGCTACCATGGTGGCCATACATTCATGTTGATTAAGCTCATCTAATTCTAATTCAATATAATCTACAGTAGTATTGAACTGATCTGGTTGTACATTACTACTTGATGTCCTATTTAAATCTAATCTTCCTGATAATCTTTCTCTCTCTACAGATCCTGTCATTATCTACAACATAAACTTAGCTATTAGAAACTAGACCTTAAAACATAATGAAATCTAGAATACACAGATAAAAATGTATGGAATCTACAATATTGTATATATACCACATTGTGAAATCTAGAGAATAGCCAATAGAACATCATGAAATCTAAAATGATGAAATATGCTACATTGTGAAATCTAAAATAAGGCCTTGACAACTTTATAGAATTAAGAACACAATAATATCTATGCACTATACAATTGTATACAACATTGTGAAATCTAGAATACACTGATAAAAAAATTATTAAATCAACAATATTGTCAATACAAAATAATGAATCTAGAATTCATTGGCAATAAAATTTCAGAAGCTTAGCAAAAGAAAATCATAAAATCTAGACTCCAACAAATATTAACAGATCAGAAAAGATGTCAGAGAAAAATACCTGGGCAGTTCCAGAATTAAAATCATATTGATTAAGATCATCACTAAGACTACTCTCTTCTATATTCTGAGTAGATATATTATAGGAAGAAAATAGAGATTCTTCTTCTTCTCCTTGTCTGGTCTCTTTAACTTCATTTCTTATTGATACAAATCTTTTCTTTCTTTCTAATGGTGACTACAAAATACAAATTTACAATATATACCTTTTGTGTTGTTTTTTTCTAATGGTGGCTACAAAATACAAATTCACAAAAGACTGATTTTTCATTCACTCAATTTACTAAATGGTGTTAATGGGCATGGTTAAGCTACAGGAACACAAGATACCACTTTGCATCTCAGTTTCATGGATCTCAAACTGAAATGTCATGTCCAAGGCCTTATTATCCTGAACTCATGAAATGTAAGGAGACCACGGTGTATTAGTGAAATATTGACCTAAAGGTCTATACTCACATCTAATTCAGCTTTAAATTCAAACATCTTCTCACAATCTAATATATTATCTAATAGAAACTGGCCCTTTAATAATATATAAGATGTGTGCGTTACACAATACATAGTGCTAAGTCAGATTTCCAAATACATTGTACTAAGTCAGATTTCCAAATACACTGTACTTAGTCAGATTTCCAAATAAATTGTACTAAGTCAGATTTCCAAATACACTGTACTTAGTCAGATTTCCAAATACATTGTACTAAGTCAGAATTCCAAATACACTGTACTAATTCAGATTTCCAAATACAATGTACTAATTCAGATTTCCAAATACATTGTACTAAGTCAGATTTCCAAATATCTTGAACTAAGTCAGAATTCCAAATACATTGTACTAAGTCAGATTTCCAAATACACTGTACTGTCAGATTGCCAAATACATTGTACTAAATCAGATTTTCAAATACATTGTACTTAAGTCAGAATTCTACATACGTTGTACTTAAGTCAGATTTCAAAATACGTTGTACTTAAGTCAGATTTCCAAATACGTTGTACTTAAGTCAGATTTCAAAATACGTTGTGCTTAATTCATATTTCAAAATACGTTGTGCTTAATTTATATTTCAAAATACGTTGTATTTAAGTCAGATTTCAAAACATGTTATACTAAGCCAGATTTCAAGAAAAAAAAAGAATGCCCCAAAGATGCTTCCTAAATATTGAAATGCGTACTTACCTTGCTTGGTTTTTCAGAGAATAGAAAACAATTATAAAACTTGGCTTCAGTCTGAGTACATGATATGATAGATATCATTAGATTGTAGGCTGTACAGTGATATTGTCTTCTTAGTTCAACCAACTCTGTTTCACCTCTTGTATCCTCACTCCTAGCTTCATGAGCACATCTGAAAGGATTTAAGAAACAATTGTAAAACATTGGAAAAGTAAAGAAAGTGAATAAAAGTAAATGAGAGGTTGCCTTGAAAACAGGAGACTGGGTGCCCACAAAAGCAAAGAAATTCTGGTTTGAAGCTCACATCATAATTTTGGGCACATATATTACAAAATATGAAAAGCCTTGTGTTCACTATGACTGCCTATGAAAGAGATTTTGCCTTCTATAACATATTGATGTCACAAAAGCGCCCAGTAGTTCGGATGCGAAAATAAATCGAGGCCCATGTACTACGAGGATGCCTTAACAGTGAGAAATATCCTTGGAAAAAATTGCCAATGCTCATTAGCCCAAAAGGTGCAGAAAAGTAGCCCATTTCATTTTGGACAGTTGGTTCGGATCCAAGATTACATGGACTGAGTAGAAAAAAAAATATTACTAACTTTGTTGCCTTTTGAGTCATTTCTTTACCAGTCTCAACTTTAGTTTGGCAGTATTTTTCATTTATAACAGAGTTTTTGCTGTTGACTTCATCTTTAGTTAGTCTTGAATATAATAACTCCATTAATTGAAAACAACCAATCTTAGTGGTCAGTTGGTTCTCAAGTTCAGCTTTGGATCCCTAAAATTAAACCAAAACTTGAAGAAGAACTGTCTGGACAAATATGACCCAAAAGAGTTAAATCTTTACCATTTGTTCCAGGGTCTTAAGAAACCCACAGAGAACAGAATTGGCATTAACAGCATTGTAATTTTAAAAAAAATAACCAGAAATAGTTATATCTTCAAATGAATAGTTAAAGATGGGTTTCCTTATTTTCTTGGTGTCAAATTAAGCAAACTATTTGATTAATTGGTGATTGTAATGAATTATCATGTATTCTTAATCATATCATTACGTTCTTATTGCATATAATTAACCAATCATAATTGTCCATGTATGTACGTCTGGACAAACTAAAAAAGACTTTTTGACCTTTCTTAATCAGTCACTCATTGGAATTCTGGTGGTAATTCTCTACAAATTGAGCTAATTATGAATTAATTATGGACATGTGAAACAAACTGGTATTTTTCCAAGTCATTAGAACACCTCTACTTTCTATTCATATAAGTATTACCATTTTCATTTTCATAAATAAAAATAAGGGAACCCATCTTTAACAGAATTGATTAGTTTTCAAATTAAGTCTTGATTTTGCCACAAAAAGTGGTCTAATAAAGCAGCACTAACCTTTACAAGTTTGGCTTCAATTTCACTCATAATAAAGGAAATATGAGTCAAAAAGAATTCTATTACAGCAGACTTGTGTACTAGACGTAACATAGGTAAACAAACTCTAGACAAGGCAGCAATTCTGATAGCAGACGGATAACTACCAGAGCTGGTAAATATCTTGTATGGTATATCTAAGGCCAATTTCTGTTTATCTTGAGGAAGTCTGAAATCACCAAAGTATATTCATAAAAGATAGGGGTCTGGCATTACAAATGAAGGAAGTTCCCACAAATATCAACAAATAACTAACCTTTTTGTATATCTGGCTATTACATCCTGTATTTCATCTTCATATACATGTTTACTTTCACGACAAAATATACTGATTAATAATTCTAATAGCATAGAACATCCAGACAGCTCTAAAGCTAGTAATATCTGAAGAAAAAAAAAAAAACATTAGTAAGAAATATTATCAAGTAACGGGAATAGAGACAGCAACACATAAACAGTGAGCTATAAAATTGAAAAACTAAGCACTCTGGTGTCTGAGTCGTCATGAATGCAGCTGCAAATACTACATGAGGATTTCAATGGAAGGTATAAATGCGGCATAGTTGGACATATATAATCATGTAGTCCTACATTTGAGGATGATTTTGACCATGAACAAAACTTAACGAAAACGTCCCTGCTATCCTGTTCATAAACCATATCCTACATAAACCTCCTCAAAATAAAGCCAGGCCATGTATTCTCTTAAACAATCTTAGCACTAGGATGTCCTAGAATCAATATTAGAGGATAAGAACCTAGGACATCCTAGAGCTAAAATCGTTTCGAGAATACATGGCCAGCTGATTTTGAATTTTCTTTATCTGAAGATGTGTATACATAGTTTTTCCTAACCTTATTAATAGCTGAAATATAATCTTGATATCGTGGACTCCCTTTAGTAAATTCATTACTTTTAATGGGAAAATTATCTGCTACAAATCTATCTAAACTGGATCTACAAATATACAATATGTGGGTTAGTCGTCAAATCAAAGTAATATTTTTAAATCATTTATATTCATGGATTTGTATTTAGAACCATATTCTTATATACAGATTCCTTTTTTCTTTTCCAGCCGGCCATTTTTGAGGAACTCAAGGTTTTAAGATGAGAATTGTAGCCAACATGAATTTTGCCAAACACAAATACATATAGATGGTAAATAACAATATTCTTTACTATGGTGCAGTATCTTAAGAAGACCATTTCAAAGGGATGCACCATTTTTTGACTGAATGTACCTTAATCTCTTAAACAGGATTTTTTCTTAGCTAAGCTAATCAGTAATAGTGTTCACAGCTCATCGTCGAAATTTGAGCCTTCAAATCCATGTGTGTCCATAATTATCTGCATTTGAAAGTTAAAAAGACGAGACACTGCCATATATAGCAAAGACATCTATAGAAATAGGAAAAGAAATTCCTACTTGGAGATATTTTTGAAGGAATTATGCGATTTTCTTATATTTCTAGTACTTCTGAAGATTATTTATATATATACAAGACTCAAATCTACCCCCTTAAATGGTGCACCTATCCCTTTAAAGATATGATTTGTATGCCATTTGTAGGTCCAAATGATGAGAATTAGTAAAGACCAAGCAAGATACTTACTTCAGCTTGGTAATGTAGGTTTCTTGAGCCATGGCAAAAAATGGTAATAAATCTAAAACTTTGTTCTGAAATATAATAATATACATAATCATTTCAACCTGCCCTTACACCATAAATGAAATGTAGTTTTACATCCTACTTTTCTGCACCATGTGGGCTAATGAAGACAGGAAACACCATGTAGGGTGCAATGAGGAAAATTTTGCCAGGACAGCGGCATTAGCCTGCTCTTTTTTGATTTCCAACTGTCAAGGGATCTTAAACATGCACAGCCTGTAGCACATGTGGCCTCAGTTTAATGCCCTATCTATACGACTAGATGCTTTTTCCATGCCAGCCCCTCTCACCTGCATCACTGACAGTGGAAAACCAGTTTGAAAAATCCCAAAGTATTATCTCAACCTATGCTGGGATTGAACCCTGGACCTTCAGGTTAACAAGCAAGTGTCTTACTCACTGAGCCACTGCGCCAGATGCATATTTCTCCTTTATAAGGATTACATATACCTATGAAAACAAAGTCGTACCAGTATATTTACCTTGAAAGCTAAGTTTGTTTTGTTATCTACCAACATAGTTTGATACATTTCAAATATGGTGGAGAATGATGGATGAGATGTATGGGATGTCACCTGAAACACAGAAAAATACGTTGATATGACTGGACATCTTCAGCATGTTCAAATTTTTGCTTACCACAGCCTCAAAAATTGTCACAACATGTATAATAGGGCTGACTTTTGAGGAATAATTGCTCTGAGAACCAAAAGCCAAAATGTAAAATCTCCTTTGGTAAAAGAGCCTGAATTTTAATCCTTGTGCTCTTGACTAAAATCTAGGGCAGTGGTTCCCAACCTGTTTCAGCCTTCACACCCCTGGATCAATCACCTGGACCTTCAACACCCCAAAATTTTTTTACATCCACATTTGCAGCATGTGATGATGTGATGTGCTCTCTAAATTCAAAATAAATTCTTCTCCTACACCAGTTGGCCACACCACTGACACCCTAGTCCCACACCCCAGGTTGGGAACCAGGGAACTAGGGCATCATGGCAACCACCACAGTACAATTTTTACGGTATACATACCCTGCTGTCTATAAGTAAAACTTTAGTAAGTAGAGAAATGGCTAAATTCTGTAATTCTGGAGGTGCATTATTAGTCCACCATGTTGAAAATTTTTTCCACTCTGATAAGATAGTTGAAGCTACATTTGGACCTTCCCTAAAGTAAATTTTCAGAAAAAAATAAAAAGTTATTCACAGCTTCAATTCAAATCAGTGCATTTTCCATGTCTTAAGCATGTGCATGTATACAAAGCTATCTTCATAACCATAGGTCTGTAGATTACCTAGTTCTATCCAGGAAAAAGCAAGGCAACACAATACAGTGTGCAATTGGGTTAATTCAGCAGTGGCATGAGCCTTTGCTCTTTTTTATCCTATCTGGATCTTAAACATGCACAAACAAAACGATGCAGAGTCTCTGCATTTTGTCCCACTGGAACACTGTTGGCTTCTTTAAGCTTCATCACTGACAAAGGGAAACTTTTATGACAATGTACAAAGATACACCTGGCTTGCTGTAAGAAGTTGGTGAACAATTGGCAAGAAGAATATTCAAATGAAATGAAATGAAAGGAGTTTTGAAGAATATTCAAAAGAGCATGGTAACTTACTTCTTTCTAAGAGTTCTGTCTCTAGCAATATAATCCACAGTAGCACCTAGTATACTGTTGACTTTTCGACCATGAGTCTTAGCTTGGTTAGTAAGTATTGGTATAATAGTACGACCGTTCTCAGCTATATATTGACAGATAACTGATTTAAACATCAGAAAAAACGCTTCACCATGTTGTAAGTTAACACTAGGTGTTTTACCTTGTATCATATCATCATTCAATAACGCTGTGATTAACACATTATCCTGAAAAAAAAAGGCATTACTCTTAGTAAATATATCTTACTTTTCTGCACCTCGTAAGACTCAATGTAGGGCTGGGCGTTATTGGTTCAAGTTGATATCACAATATTAAGCATTAATATATCACGATATGGGTATATATCGCGATATTTTTTAAGTTTTTTTTTTACTGGTTTTTGAAAGAAAATTATGATCTAGAAATTTTAAATGTAACATAAAACAATGATATCTCTAAAAACACCCCAGTCTTGAATATCATGAAAAAAACATCTGTTTCAAATATCAAGTTACTAAAATTATGTAGATGATCTTATCTGGACAACAATTTTCTGTACATCATGATAATTACCATATATCACAGTATGGCGATATTTCGGTATTTTTTAATCAGGCGATATTACTAACGAAATAAATTCCAACACCAGTATTTATCATAATAACAACAAAATATCACGTTATGGCTTGTGATATTTCGGTATTTTTTAATCAGGCGATATTATTTCGCAAGTTATTTATCAAAGTAATTGTTATCCATATAATTGTGTCCAGTTATTCATACCCCAGTTACTAAATGCCACACAAGGAAGTTACAGTAAGATCAAGGAACCTCGAGAACCAAGATATCATTTTAATAAAACATGTTTGTGTCTTTAAACTTTAAGATGAAAATGTTACCTTTAATCCCAGTTTAAAAGATAAATCTAGAAGTGATTTCCCTAGTATTGAAGCTGCTGGAGTTAATGTGATAATTTTCTTTAATTTACCTTTTTCCTCGTAAATTCCCTGAAAACATTACAACAAACTATAGTGCTGACAAAATATTCTTCAACAAAGGAGATTTGTTGCTAATAGAATATCAGTTTCTGAAATTTTTCATGTGTCATCACCAAGTCATTTGTCTTGCTACATGGTAAAGCCGCATTTTTCCCCCATATCAACATCCCTTAATATCCACAATAACTGCATTTACATTACAAAAATTATCAGTTGAAAAATTTGTAGTGTAATTGGTCGAGGGTTCTGAGAACAGTTACAATTTGAGACTACTGATGCGAGGTGGTCTCGGAACAGTTCTCAGAACGGAACAGTTAAAATTTGGAAGTGTAAACAGTTGAACGTTCTGATAACAGATGTTACACATGCCTCTTGACCCCTTGACATGTTCTACAGTTTTGTGACATCTAAAATTAACTCGTGAACGTGAAGAGTTCAATTAAAATGCGTCTGAGAACAATAAATCAGTTACACTATTCTTATAAAACTGTTCTTCGAACGCTCAAAAATTGTAGTAGTGCAAACGGTAAAAATTTGGTCATTTTATCGCGTCCGGATCTAGACCGAGAACGGAACACTAACAGGAATATTCATTCCTAAAAAAAATTGTGGGTATATACAAACCTTGTAAACAGTATCAAAAACTAATTGTTGTACATTAGTATTAACTAGTAAACCGGTTTTGTTTAGTAGTATATAACCTGATACTAAATGTTGTAATACTGTATGACCAACCACTGGATTATTCAACGATAGATTAGTCAACAAACTAAACAGATCGCTGAAATTAGTAATACCAACAAACATTAGCTTTGTGGGGACCTCATAACTGATGCAGAGTTGACAAACCCAGTCAAAGAGTGGTTTCAAGTGTTTCAGAAGGATTTGTTTACCCTACATGGCTATGAGGCCTTCAACTTCATTTATGACTTGGCACTTAATGATGTGGAAAGGTGTTTCCAGTCAAACTTTTTCTAAAGCCTGATTGGTTAATCACTAAAATTAATTTTTAAGTTAGCCAATCAGATTGTTATTCATTTAATCTTGTTTAAAATTTCCCAGATTCTAAAACCTAACCTAATCTGATTGGTTAAAAACCTAGTTTCAAAATTGGTTTTAGTGTTTGACTAATCAAATGACTGGAACACTTAGTTTTAGGGAAATTAGCCCCATGGGGTTAGAGAATGAGCAGGTTTGACTCTTGTATAACATATATATAACCATACTATACCTATCTCCTTGTAAATGATGTTTGATAGCCGACTTCAGATCACTGACTGTTTTAGCTGGTAGATTTTTAGTCATTATAACAAGTATCTGTTGTAACTACAATGATATATAATAGAAGTTTTACACATACATTCTCGTTCATCCTTCATCCAGATCAGATCAGAAATTTGAAGCAGCCATTTTGATCTTAACCTTCCAATAAGATGTAACTTATGAAATGTTTTGTGCATAATAAGCACAAAAAGTTGCACACTTATTTCTGCACTTTCTTGGGTGAATGAGGTATGCAATGAGGGAAAACAGTGTGGCATTGGCTTAAACTCTTATTTCCACTTATCAAGAGATGTTAGTTAGATATGTCTTAATAGCATGTCAGCACCTGTGACCTGCAGCAATGACAGAGGTAAAACATATACTTGAAGTAGGCCAAAATCAGGGCCCCGTTTTTCTTATTGTAAGATTTTTAGTGGAACACTACATAATAAGCAGTCTTCTTAGACAGTGCAACAGCTGAAATGTAAAATTGTTCTTGAACAAATTCACAACTTTTCACAGTTTCTCAGATGGAGCTTCAACTGGTTATGACTGGTAAATGCATCCTACCTCTGATGGTAAATTATTCATAACTTCCACATCTCCCATATTAAATCCTACAGATTGAGGTTGTACTACACATTTGATCAATAATTCCCACAGTGTATCACTCCATACTGTACCAGGAATCACCTTTATGGCATCTTTAGGATATTTACCAATTAAAACAGACAAAAAGTTGGTAATTCTTACAATTACTGTACATTTATTTCTAGAAAAACAAAAAAATAACTTTACATGAAATTTTCCAGGGGAAAAACTTTCTGAAAAAAAAGAGCAAACTGAAATGAAATGAAATTTTACCACCTTCTCTTCTGCACTAATAAAGAAAGCAATACCATGCAGTGTGCAATGAAGGTAATTTTGCAAGGACAGCCGCATTAGCTTACTTCTTTTCAATTTCCAACCGTCGAGGGATCTTTGACGTGGACAGTATGTGGCACATGGGGCCTCGGTTTAATTCATTGTCCCCTCTGACCTGAATCACCAGACTGGAAAATCGCAGATATTATCTTGACCTATGCTGGGATTGAATCCTGGACCATCAGATTAGCGAGTGAGCAAGCGTCTAATTCACTATGGCACCTTTAGCTCCCCAGCAATATTGGCAACAGGCTTGCCAAAATTGGGGCGCATTATATATTTTTAGAGACCTTTTTACCGGTACATTCAATTCTTTTATCAATTGCATTCACCAATTTCCAATACTATATAATGTTGGATCTCATTTCAGACGTAAACAAAATGCACATTGAAGACTTTCTCACCTATTAAAATCTTCTATTTCTCTAGGTGTAAAATACTCAACAGAACTCTCTTTAAATAGTTTAGAAACCTCATCAATACTTCGCAATGATATATTGGACAAAAAATACTCTAAACTTTCAAATAACTTAGATGTATTAGAACCAGTTCCTAAAAAGAATACAAACAAAATATGGTGAACTAAGTCATTTATTCCTGAAAATTCAATTTCTATAGATTTATAGGCGTAAATGTGGCTTATCTCATCATGGGGCCACGTCAAAACTCCTAATTAAGTTGATAAGATTCAATTACCTGAGAATATATTTATTGGAGTCAATAAATCTTCACCAAATACCCAGGTATAACAATCTAGACCAGCTAATAACATATCAAACCAATTCATAGTAGATGTTAAAGTGAATGTATCTGATATCTTTAATAATGTAGAACAAGCTGATATACCACTTTTACCATGAGTAGCTGTACCACCTCCTTCAAACCTGGAAACACAAACATATTGATCATAATTACAAGATGAAGAAAGAGATCCACCATATGTGCAGGAATGAGTTTTACGTCCCACGTTTCTGTTCCAGGTTTAGCTAATGTGCACGAGGAATGCAGAATGCCAAGACGACATAAGCCTACACTTTCTTGATAATAGTAGACTTATCTACAATATCTATCAAGTCAAAAGATACAACTGACGTTTTTGCCCAAAAACTTAAAGGGACAGGTTGGCAATTTTTGGGGTTCATTTGAGTCTTGAATTTTTGGTCTTCAAAAGTACTAGAAATGTAGGAAAATTGCATAATATCCTTCAAAAATATCTGAAACGAAGAATTTCAATTCCTACTTCCATAGATGTCCTTTCTATGGTAAGGTCTCAAGAAAAGAAGAGTTGTCTTTTTAATGTTTAAAAACGCAGATAATTCTGGACACACATGGATTTGAAGGCTCAAATTTCGACGGTAAAAATCCTGTTTCTGAGACTAAGTTAAGATTGTTTGAATGAAAGGAGAGCCTGTCCCATGAAGACAAATTTCTGACTAACCGTGATATAAAATGAGCAGCTCCACCACTTTTCAGAAATGTACTAAAATAGTCTTGATTGGTTTTTATTCCTAAAATAATAAATATTCAACTATTTTGTATGACCCTTCAAAATAATATCAACATTAGGCTATGATTACCTAGCAATGTACATGTTTTACAATATTTTGTTTTGACTACTGACATAATTTACATTTACATGTCATTTACAATGCACATTAATATGAGCACATGATTTAAAACAATAATTACCTTGTACATGTGTACATAAATTATAAACTAGTTTCATACAGGTATGTCTACATTCTGTTTGAGGTCGACCACATTGTCTTGATAACCATCGTACAGCTATATCTAATGTTTTATTACTCCATTCTCTATAACAATACATATATAACATTTATCACAAGTCTCTTGATATCAATATCATTAGTCATGTCTCTTGATATCAATATCAATAGTCATGTCTCTTGATATCGTTATTAATTAGTCATGTCTCTTGATATCGTTATTAATAGTCATGTCTCTTGATATCATTATCAATTAGTCATATCTCTTGATATCATTATCAATTAGTCATATCTCTTGATATCATTATCAATTAGTCATACCTCTTGATATCATTATCAATTAGTCATATCTCTTGATAACATTATTCATAATCATGTCTCTTGATAACATTATCAATAATCATGTCTCTTGATATCATTATTAATAGTACATGTCTCATAATATCATAATCAATAGTCATGTCTCTTGATATCATTATCAATAGTCATGTGTCTTGATATCATTATCAATTGTCATGTCTCTTGATAACATTATCAATAGTTATGTCTCCTGATATCATCATTAATTAATGAACATGTCTCTTGATATCATTATTAACAGTCATCAATAGTATATGTCCCATGCAGTTTACATTTACATATCATCATCATATACAAATCTCTTGAGGAAGTCAACTTATATACATATACAGCATTTCATTTATTTCAGATCATTTTTGATTTTCAATGCTAGTGTATAATTTATGAACAATTATTGCTATAAAAAATATTTTTACCTTGGTTCCTGTCTGATTTTACTAGGTTTTTTCAATATATCTTCATGAAATATTATAATACGTTGAAGATGCTTCAAAACAGCCGCACACTGTTCTTGAGTTCCTAAAAAGGCCATCAAGAAATCAATAGAAAAGTTTGTAAGAGGGAATCTGGTCACACAGATAATGGATCACAGACAAAATGGCCATTAGGTTAGTTGGTCGCAGTAAGTTGGCCATTAGGTTAGTTGGTCACAGTAAGTTGGTCATTAGGTTAGTTGGTCACAGTAAATTGGTCATTAGGTTAGTGATTCACAAGGTAGATCAGTCACAATAAGTGATTCACAAGGTAGATCAGTCACAATAAGTGATTCACAAGGTAAATCAGTCACAGTCAGTGATTCACAAGGTAAATCAGTCACAATAAGTGATTCACAAGGTAGATCAGTCACAATAAGTGATTCACAAGGTAGATCAGTCACAATAAGTGATTCACAAGGTAAATCAGTCACAATAAGTGATTCACAAGGTAGATCAGTCACAATATCACAAGGTAGATCAGTCACAATAAGTGATTCACAAGGTAAATCAGTCACAATAAATGATTCACAAGGTAAATCAGTCACAGTCAGTGATTCACAAGGTAAATCAGTCACAATAAGTGATTCACAAGGTAAATCAGTCACAATAAGTGATTCACAAGGTAGATAAGTCACTATAAGTGATTCACAAGGTAAATCAGTCACAATAAGTGATTCACAAGGTAGATAAGTCACTATAAGTGATTCACAAGGTAAACCAGTCACAATAAGTGATTCACAAGGTAAATCAGTCACAATAAGTGATTCACAAGGTAGATCAGTCACAATAAATGATTCACAAGGTAAATCAGTCACAGTCAGTGATTCACAAGGTAAATCAGTCACAATAAGTGACTGACAAGGTAAATCAGTCAAAATAAATGATTCACAAAGTAAATCAGGCACAATAAGTGATTCACAACATGGTCGATAGAATAATGAAATAAATACCTACCAAGTGACTTATCATCTTTGTGAGCCAGACTTAAACTTTCTACAAAATGTACTAATATCTGGAATGTGTACCTATCTACTAAACTCTTCTCTTCTCTACAAAATCATACAATATTAAGAATACATAATAATTCATAAGAGGATGTTAATAACAGCCTAGATACAATTTCTTTCTTTTATTGCAGGCAAACCAAACATCAAATTTTCATTCTGAAAAGGCACATGGATGGCTGAAATTGATTCATTTCTATATTAAGAAGATATCTGTTTTTGTGAATCTTTTCAAACAAGTTTTGGATAAGCAGACATTAGATTACATGAGAAAGACATTAGATTCAAAGGGTGGACACGCCTCTAACCCTTTTCTTAATGAAATAAAAGCCTTCTGCATCTAAGATTACATACCTGAATATTTGATAAATATTGTTAAATGCTAGAGCAGCACCTAATCTCTTAAATACACTTGGATGTAGAGCAAAACTGAATATTCTTCTTAATATAGAGCTAGCATTGACAGGGCTCTTTTCAACAGTCTGAAATAATGAAATCAGTCAGTAGAAATCAACAAACCCACATGAAAAAGAATGCCTGAAGTGAGCAATAAGGAAATTTAGCTATGACAGCTTTTTAAGCCTTTAGTCACTTTGGTTTTCCAGTTGTAATGTCAATGTAAAAATACAGGCATTCTGTCTACTCATATAAAATCTTTATCTTAATGTTTAATATAATATAATACAGTTGCTTCTAATGTGCACCTTATTAGATTAATGAAGTGGACAAATATGGACAATTTTGCAAGAACATCTGCACAGTGTGCCTGTTATGCATATAGTGTCACTCAATTCTTTTTCTATGTCAGCATCTTCGACATTCAATCGTAACAAGGGAAGACTGTCTTTAAAAGGTTAAAAGGCTCTGAAGGTTACAACAGATACTGGTATTGAACCAAGATATGATTTTGGTAGGCAATTCCCAATTAAAGGAACTAATTGGTACTAAAATCTCTAACTGTTAAAGTTGATATTAAATATTTAAATGATATACTCTTACCTTGACTGAGGACTGTTTCAAAGACCAATGTAAAAATTCACGTAAACATTTTCCACTAAAATCTCTTAGTGAAGTATCATCAGCTTGGATTATACTGTCCTAAAATATACATATATTGATACAATGGAAAATTAGAATGATACAAAAAAATGTTCCAGTTGTACATAAGGATAAGACTTACCTGTTTAAATGATGATAAAGAATAAAACTTACAAATATAGTATCTAATAAAGCCATTGTTTCAGAGCTTTCCCCCATTTTATTATTTGTAAACCAATGTATCAACTGCATAGTTAGAGGCTCAAATAATTGTTTAGCAACCTAAAATAGAAGACATACATATATCTGTATACATAACACTGAATGGAAATCTTCTAAGAGAGTTCCAACCAAACATGACAGTATTTGATAAGGTGTCAAGGGTTCAAAGCCTTGTCAAGGTTAAAAAATTCTATTGCAATGGCTTCATTTGTGGCACTAGTGGGGGTACAGGGGGGGATGCATTTGGCCCCCCTAGAAAAGTGGTTTGCATCCCTAATTATGGCATCACCACAGAGTAGCCAAAATTTGAATTCAGACTCAGAAGTTGTCCCTCCATTGAGGCAGTCTGCCCCCTACTTGTACCCCCAGTCTTGGAAGGTTTGCACCACCACTGAAAAGGGTTGAGAGTTTTTCCTTGATCAACCTCATCAACGAATTGAACAGACTTTTATAAACATAAATTCTTTGTCTTAAGGAAGTCAAAATTCTGAAGAGAGAGAAACTGTTGTGAATAGAGAAGATTAAGACACATTTCAGAAAGCCATACACACAACATGTCAATCTAACCGTTTTGGCATGTTGTTATATTTATATTTCTTCTATCACTTCTTTCAATGAACCAGTTACACGAGCTGGCGTTTATTTTTTGATAAACTGTATTTTGTCATGTGACACCATGAAGTAGACAAAGCATAAGAATGATGCACAACAATGATGCACAACAATGATGCAATCTAAGATTTGTCTCAATAACAGTTTTGGTATGTAAATGCAATGGTTGCATTACAAAGTGACATACAAACATGTAATCGCTATGGTATTTTGTTATTCAGTAAAGGAACTCAAAGATCTTGTATTTCTGTTCAAAATATACGTCACTACATGCTGCAAATTGACCAAATAATAAATCATAAAATCTTAGCCTTCAAGTCAGAAATAAGTCATATTTTACATCAGACAGTAATAATACCTGTTCAACATCACAAGCTAGTTTTAACATAGCTGGGAATAACTTCTTATATAATTTCTGCATGGGGTAGCGTTTTTGTACTTCTCCAGGTTGTTGAGCTCCCCGCCCCAGACAATATAGTATTAAAGAATGTAAGAGTTCACAAGCGGCTACTTTAGTTTGTCTATCACTAGATGTACTGGCCAATTCTACTACGTGGGGTAAAAATGGATCTGAAATATAAGACAATTTGTAGATCTAGATTATTTGTCTGTGTTTTTTTTTTAGTAACTGATCCACTGATTGGGCTAATGTGTACTGGCAACACCATGCAGTGGGCAATAGGGAAAATTTTGACAAGATTGTGGAATAAGGTTACTCTATCATCTTGAGAATCTTTTATGTACACAGCCTGTAGTACACAGGGCCTAGATTTATTGTAATATCGCATAACTAAAAGTTTGGGCCTGTCATCACTGACAGAGAGAAAGTGGGTTGAAAAATCCTAAGGTAATATCTTGACATAAGTGGGGATTGGAACCTGGACATTGAGGTTAGTGAACAAGTGACTATCACAAGAGACATAAAACAAGAGTAAAACCTCTTTTATGTTTCCAAACATCTTTTTAGGTTATAATTCGCAATTAATGTAGAATTCTGAATCCTGATTTATACAAAGTCACACCTCCACACATAAAGAGTTCTTAAAAGCTCTCTGAACCAACAGTCAATATCAAAAAAACTCACCGAAGTATATAATAGGTTTCATATCAATAAAGGGTGTCTCAAAACGTAGATGTTGTTCTGTATCCCAGGCTATAGCTTGTTTACTGATATCATCTTGTGAGTTAGTCAGTAGTGTATAGTTTATACTACCACCTAGTGATCCTAAATACTGTACCACCCTATCTTTAATAACACCAAGTTTAGATTCATAACTCTGAAAATATAAAAGGCAATTTATTGTAGAAAAAGATGAAAATGAGGAAAACTAAGCAAGTATCAAGACCTATGGGTTTTTGAAAATCTCGAAAACTTATCTTCAGATGATTTTACTTTTTCAATGCTCTGATTGGTCAATCACTCAAATTGATCTTAAATCAACTTCTATTATCCAATCAGATTGTCATATTTCTTAAAACCAGATCAAATCCATTGTTAAGATTTCAAGAATGAGGCCTTTGTTTATTTAGAAAACTGATCATCTACAATGCTGAATTTTGATTAACTTTTGTAACTTCAACACTTCCACAGTATATTTTTGATAAAAGATTCTAATTCTGAAAAGTGATACAGATGGCTCAAATCTTTCATTGACATCACTAACACTTTGTGGTTGATTTTTCTTGTCTTTGACCAGTCTGATTGGTAATTTAACTTTTCTATCTGATTTTGATTTAGTCATGCTAATAGTTTCTACATTCACCTCATCAGCACCTTAAACATAAATATTAACACTTCAAATAGTACAAACAGAACATTTCATACTAGCTATAAGCTGAACATGATCTTGATTTTCAGATTTCTAAGTTCTCATACAGGAGCTAGTAAGGGGTGCTAACTCTGTTGATAATTGTCGAAAACACATAAATTTCAAGATGGCTTTCACTATTTTTTTAAATACATAAAAAAATTTAACAAAAATTGAACAGCTACCTTAATTTTTTTTCATTATTCATGCATTTTAAGTTCCATCAAAATCGGCAAAAGATGTAGAATCTATAGCACATGTAAAGGTTAGACAAACCAAAAGTGAAAATCTTATGTGCATACCACATGAAATGTACCACATAAAAATAGAAAATGCAACCATACCTTTATCAACAGTTCTAATATAATTATCAAGATATGGTAATATACAACTATAATGTGGTTTTACTATATGATCAGGTAGATTATGACACCAATATTCAAGAGCATCTATAGCTATACCAGCTAATGGTAAATAACTCAATCCTAATGTTAAAGCCACCTACAATAAAAGCAAAACTTGTCAATTTTCCAGGAGAGAAATGTTAAACTGTAGCAAAACGAAAATATGCAAGAGATGCAAAAAGGAAGTAAGTTTACACTGTTAGAAAGGTGGGATCAACATTAAAGATCTGAGGCTGGTCTAGATCTGAACTGTTACCCTAAACTCTTACAGCTTTTAATTCACAAATGAAATGAATTGAATTTTTAGTCCTACTATGCATTTTATTGGGCTAACAAAGACACCAACTAATGTGCAATGAGGTAAATTTTTCCATTTCTGATTTCAAACTGTTGCACTGCATGTAGCACACAGGGCCTCAATTTTTTGGTCTTTTCCATGTCAACCTCTCAGGCCTGCATAACTGACATTGGAAACCGGGTTGAAACATTGGAAGACTCACTAAGCCACTCATCGCGGCCCCTGAAAACACAAATAACTTTACCTGTATTGCTGGTACAACATCTATCATTTGCTCTGTTATTATTTCTTTAGGTAATGATAATATGAGTGTTAAACAGGCTGCTAACAAATCATCTTGATACTGTTTCATACGCACTAAAACCTACAATAACAAAATATCAACAAATGTTTTACAGTATTCTAGAACATACAACATGTCTGTATTTTCCACACTTCCACACAACAGTTTAATCACAAATTGCTATCACACAACAGTTTAATCAAAAATTGCTATCACACAACAGTTTAATCAAAAATTGCTATCACACAACAGTTTAATCACAAATTTCTATCACACAACAGTTTAATTACAAATTACTACCACACAAGAGTTTAATCACAAATTGCTATCACACAACAGTTTAATCACAAATTGCTATCACACAACAGTTTAATCACAAATTGCTATCACACAACAGTTTAATCAAAAATTGCTATCACACAACAGTTTAATCACAAATTTCTATCACACAACAGTTTAATTACAAATTACTACCACACAAGAGTCTAATCACAAATTTCTATCACACAACAGTTTAATTACAAATTACTACCACACAAGAGTCTAATCACAAATTACTATCACACAACAGTTTAATTACAAATTGCTATCACACAACAGTTTCATTACAAATTGCTATCACACAACAGTTTAATCACAAATTGCTATCACACAACAGTTTAATCAAAAATTGCTATCACACAACAGTTTAATCACAAATTTCTATCACACAACAGTTTAATTACAAATTACTACCACACAAGAATTTAATCACAAATTGCTATCACACAACAGTTTAATCACAAATTGCTATCACACAACAGTTTAATCACAAATTGCTATCACACAACAGTTTCATTACAAATTGCTATCACACAACAGTTTAATCAAAAATTGCTATCACACAACAGTTTAATCACAAATTTCTATCACACAACAGTTTAATTACAAATTACTACCACACAAGAGTCTAATCACAAATTTCTATCACACAACAGTTTAATCAATCAAACAACAGTTCTGTTATATTAATAAAACTAACTACGTCCAACAAACACTTCAAATAACACATATACTCTCATTTAAAACTCAAACACATAAAGACCAAACACATGACTGACCTCTTTTGAAAACTTCTTAATAAGTAAATAACACACAGCTTTCTGTTTCTCCTGTTCATTAGATTCATCTGTTTCCATTAAACTAGCAGATTTAGTTGGAGAGGTGGTAGCAACACTCTACAAACAAAATTATTATCAAAAGCTTTTTAAGTTGCTATTCTATCAAAATTTATCAATTAAGTTCTTTTTTAATATATAGTGAACCTTTAGACAATAATGTAAAATAGCCACCATAAATGAATGATAACTATGAAAATCAATTTCCACTTATCATTTGCATAATTTATGCATAATTATATAAAAATGCACACTAAATGTCCAAACTTTGATTAAAAAGATATACTACATTATATATCATTCTTTCATAAATCTATATATTTCTTGACTGCTTCCTGAAACAGTGCTGTTAACTGCTTTAAATCAAGTTCATATTCTGAATGACAAATAATGAATATTTATTTCATTACAGTCCCAATTAAAAATTTGTAAATGTACTTACTTGAAAATATGCCAGTTTATTTGATATTTTCATACAGAGAGCTAGTAACTTATAAAAACCACTAACTAAAGGATTCCTGAAAACAATTCCAAATAATCCATAAATTTTCACTTACTGCATAATATCATGAGAAAAATGTGGCAAAATGATACTCAAATAAGGCATAATGATTTCTAATATGACACATCAAGTTATAAGTAGCATTATCTAAAATGTCAATATACATAAGTTAATTGTGAATCAATATATCGTGGGTGACCGCTTGAAACCTCGTATATGCCATATTTGGTCATTTTGACTTTTTGGTACCGCTCGAAAGCTCGTAAAAGCGCGGATCTTGTGATCAAATCCTCGTATTCTTAGCTTGATTGTAAATAACTCAAAAAGCACTAATTAAATAACACGTATATAAACAGTCAGATTTAAAATCTTGTAAAATATATTATTATATGAGGTTCAATGTTCCTTTTCTGCAGATGAAAATGAAAAACCTCTTATACTGTATTATTATACGAGTTATTGGTTCAATAGGCAGGAGATATCGAATTGCTATACGAGGTTTATATTTCCAAGAATGGAAACCACGTATAGAGGGAAAAAAATAATAAAAAAGATTTTACAAAATACAAATAGTTTTTTGCATTTTTCTCAAAAAGTAATTCCGCGTCATAAATCGTTATACGAGGTTTCAAGCGGTCACCCACGATATTCAGATGGATTCCAAATTTCAGATAGCTTAAATAATAATGAACACAATTCATGCAAAGGTCTGACTACTTTGGTCTCAGACTACTGTTAGTAATGTTAAAAAGGTTTTAGTTTTGACTGTAGTACTTACTGTGTAGATAGTAATATTATATTATGACTAAATGTAAATATCCAATTCTCAAACAGATTAATATGTTTATTTGGTAGCAGTTCTCTGAAAAGAAAACAAAATCATACTTTAAAATGCAGTCTAATTTCAATGATTATTTGCTAGGATAATAAGATTCAAGGATCCTATCTACCAGCTTGTGCCTACTTAGTCAAATACATTTCTTGAAATATCAGGACCTATTTTCAGATGAGTCAACAGCAATACTGCAGATTTCTCAGCATTATTTTCTAGTCATTCTTAATAATATGATGAATATGAATGATTTCATGATTCCCATCCAACATTTGATGAGATCATTATTTATATGAATTTAGAAATATTAAAACAGAATTTAAAACAACACCTTGTAACTTAGACTTTCAAGCTATTCGATCTTCAGACAACTGACCTATATACTTCAGCCTGCGTCCCTACTGAAGTTGGACAACTTCAATAGGGAGGCAGACTGAATTATATAGGTCAGTTGTCTGAAGATCGGCTCTACAATTGATGTATTAAGCACTATTTTAACAGTGGTATTTCTATATCACTCTACAATTGATGTATTGAGCACTATTTTAACAGTGGTATTTCTATATCACTCTACAATTGATATATTGAGCACTATTTTAACATTGGTATTTCTATATTGCTCTACAATTGATGTATTGAGCACTATTTTAACAGTGGTATTTCTATATCACTCTACAATTGATATATTGAGCACTATTTTAACATTGGTATTTCTATATTGCTCTACAATTGAAAAATTAAGCACTATTTTAACAGTGAGAATTTTTGTTATTGTTTATATGAATTGATACAGAAAGGTAATCATGACTTACCTACAGAAATCTACCAAATTAATAAAAACTTGAAAATCTTTAGGTTTACTGGCGTGTACACTTGATGTAGGATCTGCTGACACATCATCTGTTTCCATAGTTACATCCCCACCACTTGTACTAGCTTCATCCATCTAAATATAAAATATGCAAACTATTACATATTTTATTTCAAAATTTTCCAAAAAAAGAACTCTGTTTTTCAAGGATGACAATATAGGTTCCTGTCCGTCTACCAGTTGAGTCTTGGCCAAACCGCTTTGCATTGGTCTCTCTTAGGTATCTGCGCAAATTAAATATTTCAGTATTGTCAGTAGACACGAGTTTTAAAGATGGGTTTCCTTATTTTTTAGTGTCAAATTAAGCAAACTCTTTGATTAGTTGGAGTTTCTAATGAATTATCATTTATTCTTAATCAAATCATTATGTTCTTATTGCATATGATTAAGAGCTTGAACTAATTACCAATGTCTATGAATATACAGTCTGGATAAACAAAAAAAAGACTTTTTGACCTTTTCTTGATCGGTCACTCATTGGAACTCTGCTGGTAATTCTCTTCTGATTTATCCAATTATGAATTAATTATGGACCTATGTGTCATTAGAACACCTCTACTTTCATTAGCATTTACATTTTCATAAATAAAAATAAGGGAACCCATCTTTAAGGACCTGATTTGGTGATAAATGTGTTGAAGAAAAAGCAGCGAAAATATTTTTCAGTTAGCTATATTCCAATCTCTTAATTAAGATTATCATTAATATTTCAATTTCATTTATCTAACCAACCTGTTCAGTAAGTTCTGTGGAGGTAGTTGATGTTAAATCTAATTTGTTCAACACTTTTATAACAGAGTTCATCAGTTCATTATATAACGCATCAGTCAACTGTGTTCTTTCTTCACGTGATACACCCATAGCACCAAATTCCTAGAAAGTTGATAACATCTACCAATTCGAATTTTATGCACTTGATTTTGTTGACAATTTTGATAGAGAAGCTTTGATCTGCATTGGTGTTTTATGAAAACAGGAAAACTCCAGACAGAAGGAAACAAAAGCTGCAAGTGTCCAATCTACATTTATATTGGCTCGAAAATCCCTTTTGAATCTGTCTAGGAATAGATTGATCATTCTGTTTTCATAATTTTACGAATAACTTGGAATTACAGTTACAAAAATTACATAAATATTTCTGTGTTACTTAGGCCTACTGATTTTTTTATTGACATCAAACCAACACAAAGTATGACAATATCGATAGATAGAATCAGTGCCTCAAAATAACAGAATAAAAAGTGCGAAGGATTCAAACAAAACTACCTTTATTTCAGGACTATCCATTAAGAGATTCCAGATGTTTAAATAACTTTTATAAGAGATAGATTGTTTCTCTACATCAACATTATACAGTGTATCATCATCTGTTTGTTCGGTCTCTAATACAATAGGATGGGAACATGTTCTTATTACACTCTGATAAACTGAAATATTAAGTATAGTCCATTGAGTGTTTTGAAAAGACCTTCTACAAAAATACAGTAGGGTTTGGGTAAAATGATCCAATTATTGATTATCGTCGCTAGGAATTTATAATTTATCATATTTCATAAACGATTATAAACCAAAGTTACATTTTCTCCATTGTACCCGTTAACAAGCAGTAATCTCTTCCACATAGGTTCCCTTCAGCACATAACTTACTCTCAACAAGCTATAATAACTGCATCATACTTCTATGGCGCGAAAATAACCCATGAAATTAAGAATTTTGGCATGTTTTTTATTCAAGTATTTACAGGGTTTCTCAACTAATTAATTTTAATTCTTAATTGATTATTGATCTGTAGTCTGTAGGGCTGGGCGTTATTGGTTCAAGTTGATATCACAATATTAATCACTAATATATCACGCTATGGGTATATATTGCTATATTTATTAAATATGGTTTTTACTGGTTTTTGACACAAAATGTGTTTTTTTATTACTAAAATTTTTAAATGTAACAAAAATCAATAAACACTCAGTCTTTTATATAATGAAAAAAAACATATGTTTCAAATATTAAATTACTTAGACAAAAATTTGATGATATATCATGATAACTACCATATATCACAATATGGCAATATTTCGGTATATTTTGATCACGCAATGTTACTAACGAAATAAATTCCTATACCAGTATATATCATATTATATTGTGATACCGCAAGCCCTAGCAGTCTGTCATCGATAATCAATCTCAATTTATAATCTATAGCCAGCCCTACTTGTCAGCCCCTAATTAAGACTAAGTATGTCCAGTATGCAATGAAAAATTACCCAGAATATCAGCCAATGGATCTGTAATACGCAAACCCTGCGGCTAACACAGATCCATACTTTTTCATTGACAGGTATGCATCTTGAGTTACATAACTTGTCAGTCTATATTCATACGCTATGCTTGCTATGTCTTTGGAGTATATATCCTAGTTCAAAGTCCAAATGAAAACATGTTCATTTTAAAATGTTTATGTTCAGAGCATGTATTCTTGAAACGATCTTAAAACTAAGATGTCCTAGAATCAATGTTAGAAGATCGTTTCCAGAATATGTGGCCAGGTTTATAAATTATATTCAACTTACCCACGCCAGACAGGACTTGATTAAATACAGAACCTTTACACATTAAAGCCAACAGAACATGTATCACTGACTTGGTGGCCATGAAATGCATCTTTTCATTTAGCATAGGCATATTCTGTATTTGCATAACTAATAGATGTTCAACTATGGAGGCATAGGTTTCTGATAACTAAAAAATGAAAAACATTTCAAAATTTCATCTGTTAAATTATGTATCAACATTAACAAATAAAATGAAAAATTCAGTTCAACACTTAAAAATAGGCAAAGTAAGGTTGTAACATGTATTCATAGTTTCCATTCAAGCGATGCTAGGCTGACAATCCAAATAGAGAGTGGCACCAGGTGGTCAAAACAGAGAGAAGGACAGAGAGAAGGACAGAGAAAAGGGAATACCTCATCAATTTCTTTAATAATATTAGCTATAGCATCTAAATAACTATGTAAACCATACATTTTATCCTGATTTTCACCAACTTTCCTATAAACATAATCATAATTAAGAAGGGATCATATTTTCAACAATAAGGAAAACATGTAGTTGCCTAGCAAGATTTGTTCAATTATACATTTTCAGTATATCAAGGGTGGTCACCAATCTGTGTCAAATCATACACAAAATTTAATTTGTGCAAGATATTGTTGATTTAATCAAACACACAAAATTTAGTAAAATTCTGACAAAAACTGTCACCTCTATCTTATTAACAAGTCAACAAATTTTGATGGCTAATAACTCAAAAACCGTTCATTGAAAGAGAGCCAAATTCACACTTGTCCAAGATCTCATCATTATAAATATTCACACCAAATTCTATTTAAATCTGATGAAAACTGTAGTCTCTATTGTGTTCACAAACAAATTTGGATGCGCTTTTCGTAAGTCAAGGGCAATAGCTCAAAAATTATTCATCGCAAGATTGTACCTCAACTTCATATAACAAATATTAAAATATGATTTCATACATTAATGCCCCCAAATTTGTATCAGAACACACGAAATCTATTTTTTATTTTCAATCAAAAATTTTCATTAGTGCTCGCTTTTGATGTTTTAATAACTTACAATAGAAATTGTTGTTCACATTTGTTTAACATTTCACTGAGCATAAACACAACATCTGTTACGTTTAAAAATCTTCTACATGGCTACAAAAAATAATTTAACTTAATAAGCATTGAAACTGAAAGGAAGGGGTCTATTACCTATAACTTTTCTTCTCCAGTAATAGTTGAGCCAATGAACACAGACAATACCACGCATTGTGCAATGAGGACAATTCCTACAAATATGTAGCCCCTTTATCCTTTTGAATAATTTACTTCTTTGAATCGATGGTATAAGATCTACTGTATTGTAATTATAGAGATAGCTGTACAATTTTTCTTTTCAACTGCACCTTTAACATATTGTCTCTTACCTGTATCACTTTTAATAATGAAGAAATGTTTGTCTACAATAAATGACCTTGAAAAAAGGGGCAACACAACCAACATTGTGTCAATTATTAACACAAAACTATAGACTATTGAGATATTGTTTCTCAATGAACTCTTTAAGAATTATTTTAAAAGGGATACTACGTCTTAGAATGAATATAAAATTTAAGAATTTTAAACTTGGCCAATCAGAGCATATAATCATCAGTAGATATACCTGGTGTCATAAATAACATAACATAATCCTTATATAATCCGATAAATCTAAAAAAAATTAGTAATTACCCATAAATATGTAATTAACTATTGAAAAACGATTAATATTAAGATTAAGCATTTTTCAATAATTACTTAGTTTTATGAATTTTCCAGATTTCACAGGGATTCTGTTAAAACTTTATGACATCAGATAAGCTAACTGATGAATATATACTCATATTGACCATTTCGAGAACTTAAATTCTAAGATGTAGTATCACTTTAAGAATGAATAAACTTAAACCTTACCCCAGCTAAGAGACCATAACCTTTAATAGCTAGAGATACCTCTTTATCACTAGATTCACTGGAATTCATTATTTGACGAAATTGTTTGATGAAAAACTGAAATATGTATACAAATATGACATAAGATAGATCGTACAATAATATCATTAAGAAATGGAAGGGGAGGTTGATTTCTGCTCCATTTCATCCATTTAGGCAGTTAGGAAATGATATTGCAGGAAATTTGCTAAATATAAGCTAAGCTTAAATGTGATGTAATCTCAAACTGATTTTGACTAAGGAAAAGGCTTGTAAAATCAGCATATCATCATCAAAAAAATAGGTATTTATTGATAACCTTAAAAAGACAATCATTTTTTTATTTTGGAATGTTTAGCTCTAGCTCCTGATTTACCTTGAATACAGCTCCTTCTTTGGTACCTTCTCTAGCTCTCTGTACTAACATATCAGCTATCTATAAGATAAAATCATTAAAATATAAGCAAATACTAAGCAAATAATCAATTGGGCAAATATTGGTATCATGATCATCTTTTGGAACACCATGGCATGTCTTCCAGAGCCACTGCTTAGTTACAAGCATAATTTTTAATATTCTTATGGAACATTATCTTATATTGGTTTAGATCTATAGCTAACAAATGCAATAGCTTCATGTACCAAGAATAACTTTTCACAAAAACACTATCACCAAAAGACAGATAGGACATATTTACCTCCTTTAAAAAAGATTCCATGGCACACATACCGACATGTAGTATATCTCTATTATGATGGTGACTCCAAAAATATAATCTGTCATACATGTCCTAGATAAAAAAGAAATATTAATTAACATCAAGGGAGTTGGAGCTTTTTTGACATCTAGCCCTTGATCTAGGACTGTTTTTATCACTATGACCTTAATTACCAAATAAAAGCACATTAATTGGTGTGTATAATGCATAGTTTTTATCCAAAAAATGGCTTGGCTTGGCAAAACTTGGGGTACTCATTATAGAAAAGTAACAACAAAATTTACATTTTTTCACCAGAACCTTTCCAGCCAAAGTTGACCGTCTGCTGAGTTGTGTTCTTGAATTAACTGATTACCCTGAGTAGTTCTCCATTAATCACACAGTCAAAATGAGAAAAAAATTGTTGTTACAATTTAATTACCTCATAGTCATCTATAAGAAATTCATTAAACTGACTGGCATGTTTAGATAGCAGATGGAGACCAGCTTTAGGTACTTCATATCTTGTTAATGTGGTAGATTGCTTTAACGCCATTTTACAGTATTTATAGATATAATAGCATGAATCTGAAATAAAAAATAAGGAAATTTTAACCTGGACAACATCATAAGTCTACTTTTTTTCCTTTACAAACTGGAGAGATGTTTAAATTGCACATTCTGCAGCACATGTGTTTATTGTCCCATCATAGAGAAAATTGTACTGTCATCCTCCCCTATATGTGCATCACCATGGCAACTGAGTGGTAAAAATTTGAAAGCATCGTCTTTACTATCTTGACATCTATTGATTTACCTATCTTGTGTTGTTTGGTTGTTAATCATTTTACTTGATAACATTACCTGTATGTGTTTCGAAATGTAGTATGTAATAAAACTAGAAATAGTATATCCATATAACTTGTGTTCTTAATGTTTACATTCCTGCTTCTATATGTCTTACAAAGATTATCATCTTGACTGATGAATGGATTGAACACTGGACTCCTAGGTTAAATTGCATGCACATCAAGCCAAACCAACTTCCAATTTAAGATGATGAGCAAATGCTCAGAAGATATACAATAGAATCTGATATAAGCCACACCAACTTCCTATTTAAGATGATGAGCAAATGCTCAGAAGATATACAATAGAATCTGATATAAGCCACACCAACTTCCTATTTAAGATGATGAACAAATGCTCAGAAGATATACAATAGAATCTGATATAAGCCACACCAACTTCCTATTTAAGATGATGAACAAATGCTCAGAAGATATACACTAGAATCTGATATAAGCCACACCAACTTCCTATTTAAGATGATGAACAAATGCTCAGAAGATATACAATAGAATCTGATATAAGCCACACCAACTTCATATTTAAGATGATGAACAAATGCTCAGAAGATATACAATAGAATCTGATATAAGCCACACCAACTTCCTATTTAAGATGATGAACAAATGCTCAGAAGATATACAATAGAATCTGATATAAGCCACACCAACTTCCTATTTAAGATGATGAACAAATGCTCAGAAGATATACAATAGAATCTGATATAAGCCACACCAACTTCCTATTTAAGATGATGAACAAATGCTCAGAAGATATATAATAGAATCTGATATAAGCCACACCAACTTCCTATTTAAGATGATGAACAAATGCTCAGGAGATATACAATAGAATCTGATATAAGCCACACCAACTTCCTATTTAAGATGATGAACAAATGCTCAGAAGATATACAATAGAATCTGATATAAGCCACACCAACTTCCTATTTAAGATGATGAACAAATGCTCAGCAGACATACACTAGAATCTGTTACAGCTGTGATAAATAAAAAACATACCATCTCCTGACTGTTGAGTAAAATTTACTAAATATGATGTTAACCCTTCTAAACATCCACTTATTATGGTCATTTCAGGTTTGTTGGTTTTAGACATCATCTAAAATTATAAATTGCAAAAATCAGTCAAGGCAATCAGATTAGTAGAAATGAAATTCTTTTCCAGTACACGTTTCTACGTTGCCATTGCTTCCAATTCTAACAAAGCTGATAGAAGTGGGCAGATCAGATAAATGTCAATTCGTAGCATAAATATCCAAGAATTCCGCTTTATGTAGTCAGTAAAGCATTCTATTGGACAAAGTATTAGTTGTAGAATATTTCATTGACAAAAACCTGTTTTGCTTAACAATTGTGTCAGATCATGGATGATAAATGGAGACATCAACAAAAGAACAAGAAACAGTCTTCAAGGACTAATCCAGTGGTTCCCAAACTTTTTCGGCCTTCATACCCCTGGAGCAATCACCTGGACCTTTCACACTCCCAAAAATTTGTTTCAACCACATTTTCAGCATGTGATGAAGTGAGTTGCTCTTTCAATTCAAAATAAATTCTTCTCCTACACCAGTTGGCCACACCCCTGACAGCTGACACCCTAGTCCCACACCCCCAGGGGGGTGAAAACACTGCAGGTTGGGAGCCAGGGGACTAATATAATCAGATTGTGGCATTGTGCTTATTATTGGAAAAACATACCTGTGATTTCAGAGAAGATTTATATATATCTAATAATTTAGTGGAATCAGTTGTCATATACTCAGGATATATTTCACATATAACACCCAACATATAGTAGATTTTACCTTTTACTGAAAAAAAAAAAACTTCTAAAACGTAGCGTAATATGCCCACATACTAATTATCAGCCATAGGTAAATTTTTCCAATAAAGGATTTAATTTTCAATCACCACCAAAACCATAAAAATCTTTTATAACCTAACTATTCATCAACGAACTAAATTAGCATGTAGATCACTTAAAACTAGAATATGAGCTTCACTTGCCTGTTGCAGTTAATTTAGACGCTTTGGTTAATTCCATGAAAAACTTCTCAATGAATTTCTGAATTTTCAAATCTTCTCCCATGTTGGAACCAACTGAGAGTTCTAAAACCTGTAACAGAAATCAGAAGTCCTTGATGTTGAACATTTTCCTATTTGTAAATGAAACACTTGACCAATTCACAAATGTAAGTCCTTCATAATTTTTGATGACAGTGCTGGCGGAAAAGATTGTCCACATTATTCAATTTGGCCTTCTGTGGCAGAGACTGCTCATGAGTAATGGAAAGCTCATTCTTCTTCAACACATGCCGTCACTCAGAGACTGGCTTTGTCAAAATAAGCAACACTTTCAGGGAGTCTACATTTAGTCTTGCTATTATTTTGAATGCTACATAATTAACTACAAGCTAAATTATGAAAAAAGTGTGGATTTAAAACTGAGAAATACAAGTTACTACCAAACCATATTCATAAGATTTCTTGAGACATGGCAGATTGGAGTAACGGAGCGCATACCTTAATCAATACTGGTAAAGCTGAAGATTTAATCTTAGTAAATCTATCTGTCATATAATTAGATAAGCTAGCTTCCTGGAATAAAATTATAAAATCATTCTTACCATCATCAATCAAATTCAGCAGAAGTCACAGGAAAAGATAAGCATCCAGTTGTTTGGATGGGACAATAAACTGAGGCCCTGTGTGCCACAGACTGTGCGCATTAAAGATCCCTTGACAGTTGGAAATCGAAAAAGAGCAGGTTAATGTCGCTGTAATGGCAAAATTTCCATGGCACTGCCCGTCTTCATTAGCCCACATGGTGTAGAAAAGTAGGATGTAAAACTCTATTCATTTCATTCCACAGGAAAGATGAAAAAACAGATACAAGTTGATAGGAAAAATTAAATGGGGAATGTGATAAAGATACCAAATGATATACCAAGTACTTAAAAATAATTTGCTAAATAATGATCAAAAAAATTAATCCATCACATAGGTCAAATTCAGTTATCAAAATCACAACAACAAAAAATTTTGGTTTTGGTCCAACTTAAGCACTTCCGGTATAGGCAATGTTGCAGCTTATATAAATTCCATTATATAAATCATAGCCCACCTTGATTTCGACCAGATATGGTAAAGCCTTTTTTCCAACTTTATGAATAAAATCTGATAACAATTCCAGCAAACCATACTTGGCATTAGATCCTTGGTACTAAAAAACAAATCAGATGTTAGTATCTTTGAGTAACCTTATTGAGTTCAATTGATTTCAATTAGTCTCAATAATAGTTCTAAGTGATAAAATAATTTCTCTAATTATTACCTCATTCTTCTTAGAAATCTTTTGAAGAAAAGTGGTAACACCAATTTCCTTGTCAAACAAAACTGAACTGCAGTAATCTAAAAGGAAAATTCTCTAATTGTATGACTGAAGAATAATAAACATTTACATTGGACATCATACATAATAGTTGAGGGTTAAAGTATTCCAATTCACTTGTGCTGTGGCCATACATGCGTAATCTACCGATGTTGTCAGGTTTCTACTGCTTTTGCATGTTGTCTATTTTCATGGGACCTACCATTTTCAATGTCCAAATTCTCTACCATAAATCAACAAAATATCTATCATTACTTATTGATTGCCGATATCGCGTGTTAATATCATCACTTAATAATATTATCATTGCCTTATTACTGTGGCTACATGTTTTGTTTTGTTTTCACAATCCTCATCAGAAGTGTCATCAGAACAAATGGAAAGGGTAGAGGCAGTGTCAAGTAATAACATACCAATCGAAACAATTGACGGAGACCTTACTCAATCTAAAGGAAGTGTAAATACTGTTGTAGCTAATGTCAGGGAAAATGACAAGTAGGATAAGAAAATAAAACAGGACGTTTGCCTTGGATGAGCGATCGGAATGTCTACATAACAATCCATCAAAAGGAGGGTGAAATAGAGCGGTATGCTACATATCATTCATGAATATTGATGAATTCAAAGCAATGGAAAACAACTGAATGTCGCTTGTGATTATCCTTTTGACAGTGTGTCATTACCTATATCCTTTTCAGTAATCTCGTGCAGACATATCTGTGAAAGTGTGGGCACAATACTATCAATTTGATCAAGCTCCGATTGTCCCCCATCTTTTAAATTTGCATGTAAATCCCGGAGACTTTCTTCTAGAAGCCCGGACGCCATGTTTTGTAAATAATGCACTTCGACCCTTTCTACCTTGTGATTGCGGTCACCATTTTATATACCTGCACAATTTTTTCATGTTAAAAGGCACGTATTTACGTTTGAGATAGAGTAAAGGGGATTTTTCAAACAAATTAAAGGCGAATCTTGAACTGAATCGCTGAAAATCCCGTGCTACTTAAAAAAAAATTCACTTAGCATCAGTACATTGTATAGAGCGAAGGTGCTACAACAATCATTAAATGTGAGTCACGTTGAACAACAAAAAAAGTCTCCAATTTTTTTACAATGATTTACATCAGATCAAAGCTGAAAAAATCATAAAGCTCACATATTACTAAATATTTATATTGTTCTGTGTGAAATGCATTAGAAAATATCAAACTGCAAATATGATATACTCAGGCTCGAAGCAACGGGGGGAAAGGGGGAAAATTCTGACAATCCATCAAATTCTTTACTGCAGTCAAACGCATTACACCCGCTACAGGCCTGTATTAGTTATTGCAATGAAAAGTTGTATCAATAATTTTTTCACAACTGAAACTAGGAGAATGTTTTTAAAATTTTATTATGCACAAATCATAGGTGTACAAATAGAAAAGGACCTTTCCTACAATATGGTGCAATCGATATATTTAATCCAACTAACTCGCAGATTGTCATACAATGAGGTAGGTTGTTACAACTCTGTCCTCAGTTATCAATAGGCCCCTACTGAACATTTGGGCTCTGATAATGAGATGCTGGGATACACATTGCATAATCATGGACTGACGAATGAGTGGTGAAATCACATGAGTGACCTTGGGTAAAATTTCGAGGAAAACATATCTCTTTAAGTTCAAAAACCAAGTTCTTAAAATTTACACATTTAATATTTCATTTTATATTTCATTAGTTTGTATTTCATACAAAAAAATTACTATAACATGCAAAATATCTTCAAAAATTTCAAAATCTTTTTCAGCATGTTTTCATTTTCATTTATGACAGAGAAGCTGAAACTGAGTTATTAGACGTGAAAACAAACAAACTTGCAAAGTTGAATTTTTAAAAGCAATTTACGCTCATAATGCATATCCTTCAACACCTGTATGGTCACGAATGAATGTACAAAGGTCGCCAATAATCAAAACAACAAAACAACAATATTAATACATAGTCCATCACATGTTAATTTCAAGGAGGTATGAGGAAATTTAACATCTATTATCCTAACACTTGATCCCTTAACAACAATATGAGCTTGATTAATTAAGGATCAGACTTGATAAAACAAGATGAGTTGGTTGTCTAAGGACATCTGCAAACCATAAACTCAAGATAACCAACTAGTCAATACTTTGAATGTATGTAGCTTTAACAGTGAATGTTATGCTTATTTTATAGACACAAGAACAAATTCTACCGAAAGCTTACAATAAGTAAACAATGAGTGTTCAAGCTAAAAAATCTTTGGTAAATATTTTGCAGTTCCTGAAATTTTTATCCATGTTCTTAAGCTTAAATTTAAACACATATTTTTGACCAAGCTTGAAATTTTGGTACAGAATTTCCATTGGACGTTACAAAACATGAATACATTGTCTTGCTGGTGATGGATGAAAAAACCATCATAAAATTTGTTTTTTGATTCAAACACAATATTCACGTATAGGACACTTCGAAATCTAAACATGTCTGGTATATAAAACTAAATCAACAGCCCTGGTTAATTCATTTGTCCCACAATCCATGGTCTTTCATTTTACTAATAAAGAATCTCTCCACAATGTTTGCACATTTATAATATTCTGTATCAGAGTCATTATAATTTCGACAGTTATCAAACACATGTTTCATATCAGCTATAAATATTCTTTTATTAGAATAATATCTATTCTTTAATCTCTCTGACATCGTCTTAAAATCTGAAAAACAAATCATAACATGCAAGATGTGTGCCAGAAGTAGTTTTAAATGTATTTTCAAGTGAGGATTTGCTGGACGAGCAGTACTCAGAGAGTAGTTAACCTGAAAACTGGTGTTTGATTCAGATTTACCTTTGGATTTTGTAACTCAGAGCGATGCAGCTTTGCGAGACTGATTTATGTGTTCAAAGTGAACAATAATCTAAAATAGTAGGTAAAATGGTGATGTTACCCTGCTAAGAAGCATGAACTAAGATTGATGCAGTATAGAAGATCTAAAACTCAATATTATTTCAATATCTATCATGATATCATCATCACAAAGGTTTTTAAATTCATAGTTGCTAATCAAGCAGAAGTAATGGTAATACCATCATCGTAACCATATTGAATAAAGGAACAAAATTTTATGGTACACTACTCGTGAGTTTTATAAGTTACCATTAAAATTCGTTCCGTTATTCAATGTGATCTCTACCCCTGAATGTCGCTTAAGGATTATCTTACCCATAGGATATTTAATATGATCATAATAGTCAGGTGCTTCTGATTTGTCTACTGGTTTCTGGAATGGCCAGGCACTTGTATGATTCTGAAAATAAATACTTGTGAAAATGTAAAAGGGGCAATAAAGGGTTATTTAACCTCCTGCAGAAATTTCTAATTTTTTTCAAATTCAAGAATCAAGATCAGAAAGGCTCAAAAACATTTCTATTGCTCACCATCTACAACTTGTGTCTCTATGGTAGACAGTTTAAATTGGCCAATTAATGGGACATGATCTAAACATAAGCTTTACTAGCTTACTAAATGTGATCATTTCATCTGATAATAGCATTTTTCAGAGTGAAATTTCAACATTTAGTTCCAGGTCAATATCATCATTCGTCTGACCAGATATTACCATCTGAATAAGTTTTATCAGCTGGTTATTCAAAATATCAGAGCTATTCTATTAAACCCACCTTCACTTGTTGTAGTATTGTTTTAAAAGAGTTATACATCTGATCTGAATCAGCAGTGATGTCTTTACTGAAATGTATAATTGAGAAATTCAATTCCCTAGCATTAAGACTAAATGACCAGTAACATGTTGTTTTAGCTTCAAAAGATATCTAAAGTTTCCTTAATGTAACATAACTGCGAAATGTATAGTCGCTATATAGTGTGCAATTAAGTAAACTTCGCCAGTTTTCTACAGTTGCATTAGCTCGATTTTTATTTGTTATTTCAAACTGTCGAGGGATCTTCAATTGAAAATTACAAAGAATAATACCTTTTATCTGGGGTAGATGCTGGTTTCCAGCCAGCCTCTAATAAACCTGGTATACTTTCTATAGGGATCTGTCTTACTCCATCTTTAAAACATGATAAACCAGCATATTCCTTTTCAAACTTAGTCTGTTTCATTTCTACTATCTTCTTTACAATCTGCAAAATATACAAACTTATTACGGTCACATGGTTCTACAATCAGAGTTACCAGTTACTGTTATTCATATACTCTGCTAAAGTATGGCTAATTTTCATTTCTTCTATGCCCAACGATTGGTTAAAGTGGATCCAAAGAGTTATGTGAAAGCAAACGAGGCAAGGGTAAGGGATAAGAAATTGACAAAAAATTTCAAGTTATTTTTTTTAGATCTTACAAATGGTTAAAATACATACACAAGAATAATACACAAGAACATGTCTATAAGATGGACAGATGTTTCTGCTAATGAAGGATGGATTGTTGACCTAAGGATGGATGGCTTTTGAAATTCTCCAAAGCCATTTCCTTGATTCTGAAGAGAACATGATTGCTTAAAAAGATCTACCTGTTTTTGCTTTCTAATAATTCTAGAGAATTCTGTATATTTGATTCTAGGATTCAATTCACAACCCATTAAAGTAGCACCTTCATAATCCTTAATATAACCATTGTAGGCAGATTTAGCTAGTTTTATCTCTTTAGAAAACCCCTGAAAAATTCCATGTTGGTGTAAAAAAAAAAAATATTTAGAACATTATTAAGTAAAATAATTGCTGACTAAGTGCGAGCACACGAGCGGTCTTGATTTTTGTCAGCGACTCGAATCTCGAGTAAAATCTTGTGTGTGCCCGTGCTTCCACGACAAGATTATCGTGTTGCGACAGGATTTACAATATCAAACAAGTTTACAAATCTTTATTACGTGAAAAGTCTAAAATTTAGAAAACTTCAAATGGATGATCATGTCAGAGATTGTTTACCTGTTTTTTAAAGTAACCGATAGCAAACTCATCAGCAAATGTCAGAAAATGAAAAATATTGTGTCTGATATGATAGTCTTTTAAATGATTCATAAGATGAGTACCATAACCCTGAAATTAGAAACATGATATATTACACTAAGTTTCTATGAAGTTTCAATTTTCTTTGACATTTATCACAGCCATTTTGAATCTTAATTAATATGATTATATAGAACTTTCACATTGTACATAAATAAGTGATACAGAGTTTTAATCTTTGTTAGAAAATGTTATCCTTTTCATGAGATATTGGCATTAACCATTAAATTAATGTCTGAATATATAAGGCCATACAAAATAAATAGTCTTGTTTTACAGGCCCAAAAAAGCCTGATTGTTGCCTTAATATTAAATGTACATTAAATTTGTGGTAATAAATAATAAATGCTTTCGCTCGCTCCAAATTATTCCAGTTGAAAATCTAAAAAAGACCTTATAAATAATAAATAAATTTATCCTTTCGCCCCAATTTTTGAAAAAAAAGGCCTGTAAAACAGACTTTTTATTTTGTATGGCCTTAAAGGATTTTGTGTATTAAATACGATTTTTCAAATGTTTTAAACGGGAAGGTAGTTTAGTTTACAAAACTGCATTTTACACTAATAGTGTGTATTACCTTGACTTGTTCATTAGATGTAACTGCACAGAAAACTATTTCTGTAAAGCCTTGCGTAGGAAACATTCTGAAACATATTCCACCAATTACTCTATTGTCTTTTATAATAGAAAGACAACGATGTTTCCTGAAAAATAGTAGAAAAGCATGCATCTTGTGATCAAAACCTCTTATTCTTAGCTTGATGATGCAAAAACCACTAATTAAATAACACGTATATAAACAGTCAGATTTAAAACCTCGTAAAATATATTATTATACGAGGTTCAATGTTCCTTTTTCTGCAGATGAAAACGAAAAACCTCGTATACTGTACTATTTATATATAGATACAGCTTTATGGAACAACAATCACTGGTTAAAGTTTTATGCAACGTTTCGACATGTTTCCCCCGTCGTCCTCAGACTCACAATTGCTAAATGCCATTCAAAGACTTTACTGTACTATTATACGAGTAATTGGTTTAATAGGTCGAAGTACTCAAATTGTTTTTAAGAGGTTTAAATTTTCAAAGAATAAAAAACACGTACAAAAAATAAAATAAAAAAGATTTTAACAAAATATGCATACATATATTTTTTTGCCTTTTTCTCGAAAAGTAATGTCGCTTCATATATCGTTATACGAGATTTCAAGCAGTCACCCAAGAAATATCAAAATAAATTATGAATATCTATCTACATAACCCAATGTTAGAAAGTGCTTTTGCTTTGGGACATAGTTCTATATTTCTCAATGTAACATTTTGGGTCATCAAGAGGAAAGATATGGAGAAAATAATAAACGGGTGACAATGAACATCAATAGTAAATCAGTAAACAATAAAAATAATAATAATGAATCTTTAATGGCCAATATCTCCGAAAAAATATTCATAAAAAATATTCAATATATTTCACTTAGTCTGAGCATTTAATTCTACCTTTTAAAAACGAACAGCAAGTAAAAATCTATCTCAAATAACTCCAAAATAACTACTTACGGATCAAAAACCAATCTAGTGATATATTCTTTAGGCATTCTAGGAAGTTGATGAGAGAAAACATTTTGTAAACCAATTAACCATAGTATTAACTGTTTAGATGGTTTAGAACTCAATGAATTGCCGATAACATGGAATTCAATTACACCTTTTTCTTCTTCAGATCTAGCACCTTCATCTCTTGTAGCATGGGCAGGGAAAAATGAAGACTGAAATTAAATTACATAAGAAAATATGTAAGAATATGCATGGATGCTGTATGATTTCTAAGGTTTAAACTGGCTGTCAAGGTCGTAACATGATATAGATATGGACAAAACAAAAAGCTACTAATTTGTGTTCAAAATGAGAAAAAGATATTGTCTAGCTTTTCTTGTTACTATGAAGCAAGCAAAGCCACTTCAAAATACAATACCATAATGTATGCTTTAGTGTAAACTAAAATTTGGTATTTTCAGAACTTATTGTCATCAAGAGTCTTTTGAACCATTTCAATTTAAAATTGTTGTCACATCTACTTTGCAAATTGAAATATATGTTTGCACAAACATTTGTGTGAAAAACAAATACAGGAAAATGAAAATTATATGAAAAATAGCCTCTAGAATTCGCTTAATGCAAAACAAATTTCAACGCCAAAATTCACTTAAAATGATCAACTAAGTGGATTTTCCAAAACAGGTTGAGATTTGATTATAACTGAGTATTGTTTGGTGGTTTTGTGACACCAATAGTCATAGCAGTGTATCTCAAAATACAGCTTTTCTTGAAGCTAATACCGTATATTTCCGAATATAATGCGCACCCCTTCCTTTTCCCATTAAAATTGGGAAAAATCCATTTATTATTAATAACACATTAATGTATACCTATTTCACTTTAGTAATTTCAGATATATTAATACAAAATATTTACAAAATACATTAAAGTCTAATGAGTTGTTATAACTCCCGAAACGATCTTAAAAACATAACAACATGGCATTGAAGGAAGACAAACCGGCGGATCCTCAACATCGATTCGCCGTATTTTCGAAGGGGAAAAAAACTATTTAACCATGTATAGTGCGCACCCCTTCTGTGTGTATCCCTTTTCAGGGTAAAAACCTGCGCATTATACACGGAAATATACGGTAATTCTGTAGAAGAATAGCTTTGGGGACAGCAGAGTTCACACTGTCACACCAGGTTCAGATTTAACCCTGCTTAAAAGACTATTATGCAAATATTTCAATTGAATTGATATAAAAGGAACTAACTTACGAAGGATAGCGGTAGATAACAACATCAAAAGAAAGAGATCTAAATCTAAAAATAAAAACACATCCATGTAATATAACAGAATGAAATCAACATATTGAGGATGTTGACTTACATCTGGTCCTACCATTTCTGTGGGATCAGTGATAGTAGCTATGATCTCACTTAATACTTCAGCTGAGACATCTCCTTCTATCTTCTTTCTTTTAATATCATCTGGTAAATTACCTTCATCTAGTTTCCTCTTTTCACCTGGTACTAAAAAAAAAAAATATTTTCCAATTTTAGACTTGATTTTAAAATAGGCTGAGATGATACTCTATACTTAAGAGATTGGTCATATCAATTTCTGTTTTGCCAATTCAATAAAAACTTTGTAACAATTTGTTTGCCAATGAAATTACTTGGAATTAAGGCCAAGACTTAGGTTCTGGTACAACTTTAATACTAGAGCAATATCAAAATCCTATAATCATGAGCTACCAATTAACCTTCCATGAAAAATATACAATTTAATTCGATTATAGTTTATAGTGATAGATTTTGATTTGGCTAATCAAAAAGAAAGAATGATCATTTTGAATTCCAAAACTGCGTTGCAATACTTTCCAAAGTGAACCCTTATCTTGACCAAGGCGTATTATCATACTGTTACATATAAATCATACTTTACCTGCTTCTTGTGATTTAGAAGATCTGCGTGTTGTGATAGATGGTATTAGGCCAGGACTGACATTAATCAGGGTAAAATTATCACCATTACTATTAGTGCTGTTACCACTAGTAAATCTACTTAAACCACTTACACCAGTAGCACTATTTGGTGATGTTGCTACGATAAATGATACATGAGAAACTTTTATATTTTTGTTACCATACAATTACAAGATGCCAAATTCCTGTGTTTTGAAGAGTGTCAAAATCAGGAATATCTCTTATTTTTCTGGTTCAACAGGGACATCTATCTCAAAGACAATTATTTCTCTTTGCTTGCCTTTTCAACCATATAAAGCTAGTTATGTTTCTTTAAGACCAAATCTTTCATTTATTAGATCATGACATTATTTGTGATTGAGGTAGTTAAGGCTTAGCAGTCTTATCAAACCCACATTTGCTCATAAGTGTTGGTTCACTAAGCAGAGCAGATGATTGAGTGACTGTGAAAACCTGTTTTCCCTACCAATTTAACAAATAGTGTTTACCTAAAACTTGTGCTTGAGTAAGAGGCATATTTGCAGGATTCTGTGAGAAATCAGGATCCCATATTGGTGAATTATTATTGTATACTTCCTCTTCTAACATAGACAGAAACCTAGAAAATAATGAGGATATGCCATTATAACAAAGGAAGTATCATTATTTTAACAAAAGTGCATAATCCAATAACATGGTATCTGTTTATGCTGATATCTTTATTGTGTTTATCAGTTTGATACAGAAGTCAAAAACAGTGATACAAAAATTCAAATTTGAAATTAAACATTGGCAATATATTTAATATATTAATGTCTATATTAATGCAAGATTTACAAATTTTAAATAAACTTTGAAGAAATTTGAAAACATTCGGGATATTTCAATTATATTGTCATAAGTGTTTTTTTATTGTGGACTTATATTTGGTTTATCAACTTTATTTATCCTTAAATAAGACTATCAGTTTTGATTCCATTTTATTTACTTCACAAAATACTTTTGTTCTGAAATTATTGTATTAATACTGAAATCATTACCAGTAAGTGCCAGTGTCATTTTTTCAGCATCAAAATCATGCTTACATTCATTTCTTACTTTTCAGTATGTAACTTACCTAGGAAAATGTGTCAAAACAAGTGTCCTCTTATCTGGTGGCATTTTATCTTTTTCTGCTCTGAATTTATCTAACAACTGTCTTCTCATAGTTTGAAATACTGAACGTAATAATGTTCTACCAAATATAACGGTAGTTTCAGATCGAGGTAAACTATCACATAGGCCTGGTACATGACAATAACATAACCATCTACAAAATCATAGAAATAAAACATTTAATTATGATACAGAAAAAACAGACTACAAAATTAGCATTATGCTTTCTTACAGAGTCCTCAACAAGTATCTCTTGATCCATTAAGCTGTAGCAGTCATCTACAAATTTGGTGATCTTTTCCTTTAAGGATGTGAAATCTAGAAATGAAGACAGCCTATACATCCAAGATTCATTTCATTTGAACAGAAAATGGAACATCATAGGTTTGATCAGGCAAAGGGCAACCACTACAGTGTTTGGATCAAGGGGGAATACACCTGTATCACAAAAATATCATTAAAATTATTACTAATGTTTCTATGCATTGTATAGTAATACAAGTCCACGAAAATATCGTGATAACCCTTTAATATTCTTTTAAAATTCATAGACCTGCAAAGAAATATTATGTGTTTATCTCATAACCAATTCCCCATACCCTTAAATTGTTTAGATATTGAACATGGTAATCAATGGGTTGAATGTCATAGAAACAACCATTCATTTCAGTGAAATAGGCCGAAATAAAGAAATTATCATTTAATACCTTGTATAATTGATTTTATATGTACTCATATCCTCTGTACCAGCATGTTGAGCTCTATTAGCTGACGTTTCTAATTTCCAATGATTCAAACAGTGTAAAAACATCTTTGCTAGATCATACATCGTCTGCCATTCTTTCTGAGCCAAATGGCCAAATTTATACACCACAAAGTTTGTCACACCCTAAATTTAAACAAAGATTGTATTTGAAACAGTAAGAATACAAAGACATAGGGCTGGGCGATATACCGGAATCACGATATATACAATAAATTTATATCGTTATTAACATCGTCTAATTAAAAAATACTGTAATATCGCCATATTGTGAGATGTAGTTGGAGGTATAGACAAAATTTACTTCATTGCACAAGACAATTTTATTTAGGTAATGAAGTTGGGTATAATTGTAACAGCATTGTAAAGCAATATCAACACATCTTATAGCGTGCAAAGCCTTCATATATATATACCTTGGCAATACTTGGTTTTTCAAATGGCGGATGTCCTAGTGGACCTTCAATAGTTGGCTTGGTCATATTCAATATACATTTTCTTAACAACTGTAAAAAAAAAATTTCATTACTATCTTGTTATAAAAGCTTATGTGACAAAAAAAAACCAAACATTTAATTCTTAGTGAAGTTAAATATTTCAATTAGAAAATACCGACATAAAAGGAATATTGAAAAATTTGCAATGCTCTTTTGAGTTTGTTTCTACATAAAGGAATGAACAAAAGATATTTTTTCAAGTATTAAATCCATACTACCTATTAAAAAAATGGAAATGTTTAAACTTCTCTAAAATGAGTCTTTGATCATCAGTGTCATAACTATACAACAGAATCCATGCATAATCCAATAAATCCATTAAACAAAGTACCGTAATAATTGATTAAACTAAGATATTTTGAAACATGCTTAGAAGCATATTTCAATAGTTATGTAGTTTAATGGTTTTATTGTCTTTATATAGAGATTCTATTCTTTAGTCATGGCATCTTGTAAGTTCAACTAGTGAATATATACACTTATTATTATTTTCAATGCTATAGAATACTATGAATAGATGTTAATGAGATTATTTCAGCTCATAAAAAAACTACATAACCTTATTTAAATTTTGTAAATATTGACAAAAAAAAAAACAAAAACAAATGCTTTATTTTGAGCTGATACACACCTTAAATAAATAAAAATAAACTTGTTTGGTTTCAGCATCTTCTTCTTTATGTACACATAAAAACAGATTTTCAACATCCACAACTATACGTAACAACCTGTTTAATTCCTCTTCAGATACCTCTTCTAGATGAGATACATGAGATGCTTGAATGAGAAAAATTTGAAGCTTTTAATAATCCTATTTGTTTATAATCAATGTAAGATTATGAGAATAAATCTTTATGATTGAAATCTTAGTGTAGTTACCTAAAGTCTACATAGATTTCTTTAAGAATTACCCAAACCCAGTAATAAAGTTCTTCATATCAGTTAGTATCATTGAGAAATTGATTTACTCTTTTATGAGGTGGAAAATTATAAACCATTGCAACAGTCAAAGAATCTGTGACAAAAACACTGTGTAGAATATTGAGCCTTTGATTATTGCCCTATTCAGTTGACTGCCAAATTCCGTCATTAGAACATTCTCAAGAGGAAACTCACCTAGTGGATGACTACAACTTGAGCTTCTACAAGGATCTGTCAGACTAGCCAGTGGTTGAGAAACATCAACTCTTGGTGGGGTAGGTGGTGGGTTAGGATTCTTCCATCCATTACACTTACAGCCTTCAGACTGAAGAAGTAAAACATATCCATTCATTAAAAATCTGATAGGAATAGCAATTAGAACTGAAATTTAGCTATTCAAAGCATTCAAATGCAGACTACAATATCTTTTAGAAGTCACCAATCTAGGCATCCAGACAATAGACCCAAATTTTATTGACAACAATTATTACCAGACCCATAAGTTTTTAGTTTGGAAATGACTTTGTTACGGCAGTCCACTGCATAAATCAACAGATATATTGTATAAATAACCATAAGAAGCCGATTTCAAATTACGACATCTTAAAACTAAAAGGGTCTGATACTGTACAGTTGACCATATCTTGAATTTTGTTGAATACTTTGGCTAGCCTATGGGTCTACTTAGCGTTACTTTTGTAGTTTTTTACTTTATCAAACAAAAGAAAGGGAAGTCTGCTGTTACTATAAAAAAAAATTTCAAATTATGGATACCATAACCTGTCCTGTGCCTCTTTTAATAAGCCTTATCACGAACCCACCTTGCAAGAAGAGTAAACAGCTAGTTTTTCTAGTTTTTTATTTCTAGGAAAGCTGGTAACTTGTTGCTTCTTTTGCGCGATTCTTTGTGCGTTGTTCATACGGGTCATATCTGCCGCATTTTCTTGCGATGATGCGTTTTTCGTGCCATTGACGGCAGTTTCTACTTGTGTCTCACCATTGACATTAGAAGAAGCCATCTTTGTTTTGGTTTTAATTTACTCAAACCTACAGCATCATTTTAATATAAATACTGCATCGAAAGACATATCAAATAATAGATTCGATGTTGGTTCGATCTGGATACGTTTATTTCCAAAATACACACATTAATCCCAAAAATAATGTCATAAAAATAGGAAAATTGATCAAAGCGTCTTTCATTCACAGTATTTTCTTCTAAAAATAACTTCCGGGGACATAACTCCTGTTACGCAAATTCTTGTGTAGGGACTTACTGCACAAAAAGTGCTCACATTATATATAAATAAATTTCTATCTTGAAAGTTACAAAACTAGAAGGTTGAAATTTGCAGGGAATTTGTAGGCCTACTTTGACAATCTGGACATGTGAGAAAAAACAGGTTAGGAAAATAGGTTTGGAAAATAGGTTAGCCGATTTTCCTCTGAAAATGACAAAATAGGTAGCCTAACCTAACTTTGCTAAATAGGCATAGCCTAGTAAATAACCTAATTAGTAATGTAGCTAAAGTTCTTTGCCTATTACTTAGACCCTAGGGGCTTGATAAAAGAAAAAGAAAAAAAAAATTAAAAAACAATGACTTAATTAAAGAAATGGATATTTCCGGCGTAAGGCTGAGTTCACATAGAAGTATACTTTTCGGGTATACGGTGCACGTTTTGCACGACACGCGTTTACCTTAAATCGAAAAAGGTAATTTCATAATACCTGGTCACATAAGAGGACACTAATCGAAAACGAAGTATACCTGCGTATAGAAGAGTATAAGTGGAGTATAGTGAGAATCGTGCTTGTTCGATTTTTCAAGTAGTGTATACAGCCAAGAGAAATTCCCCCATGTCTATAAGCAGAAAATGATAGTTGCATATTCAAAAAATAAGAACTTAAATGATAATATTGTTCATAGTAAACTAAAAACAATCAGTACATAACAGATACTATACTTCTCGCCCATCGAGCGAGTTATTTTTTCTAATTTCAGATCAGAATAAGAACAGAAGAAAACCCAATATCAAGACCCTTAATCCTAATTTCTAAATAAAGTGTCTGCTCCACCCTAGGCCTGTACATTTGGGAGAATCAAACCCTCCCTTCCCCGAAATCAAAAACATTTCATCGAAAATGTGTCAAGTTAGAACTTGTCCGAGATCGGTTGAAAACTGTAGCCTCTATTGTGCTGACGAACAAATTTTGACGGGTTTTTACAAAGTCAAGGGCAATAACTCAAAAACCGTTCATCAAAAATGCATCAAGTTAGAACCTGTCCGAGATCTTATCAATTCCAATGATCACACCAAGTTTCGTCAGAATCGGTTGAAAACTGTAGCTTCAATCCAGCTCACGAACTATTTTTAACAAATTTCAACAAGTTTTAACAAAGTTAATGACAATAACTCAAAAACATTTCATCGAAAATGCGTCAAGTTAAAACTTGTCCGAGATCTTATCAATTCCAATGATCACACCAAGTTTCATCAGAATCGGTTGAAAACTGTAGCTTCAATCCTGCTCACAAACTATTTTTAACAAATTTTGACGTTTTTTTACAAAGTCAAGGGCAATAACTCAAAAACCGTTCATCGAAAATGCGTCAAGATAGAACTTGTCCGAGATCTTATGAATTCCAATGATCACACCAAGTT